CAGGCAGGCAGGTTTCCAGGTAAAGCTCATCCAGAGCTTCAGACTTCAATCAGGCTTTCTGTGAGTAAAGAAGACAGAGGCAGGTTAGAATCCAGTTTCTCTCTGGAGTCTACTGTGATTCACTATATTAACAGAGGCTTAGGTTTGCTAACCAAACTTGGTCAACACTGCGGCGTCGAAGGAAGGTCTGACTGCTGCTTATGTAGAAAGGTCTCCTGATGGGTTGATGAGCTTCAGGTGTGCTAGAGGCTCCAGCCCAGGAGACCCACAGCGCTCTCTGCTGGAGACAGATGGTAGATCTCCAGATCCCAACAGTAACCCCAGTCCCTAATAGAAAACATATAACAGAAGAGGATCCTCGGCACCCTCTGGTGGGCAAGCCTCAGGATCCCAACACTTATAAGCTAAGTGGATATTGACCCCATGCTAACATACCTCCCAACCAAGCTGTACATTTTCTACTATTCTTAGTTGTGATTACATTATATTCTATTACTGAGGCGTATCAATCAAATAAATAGGTTATTAACAGACATTAGCTACATAATTTTGATAGAACTGGAAATATACAAATACCCACATTGTTGATATTAAAAGTTAATGCAGAGATTTCACTGAAAAGTCAAATCAAAATATTAAATTTTTTAAGCTTCCATGTTTGGCTTCCTATGCTGAAGCACGTAATTAGAGTCCTTTACAGACTACATATCAGATTCAGCTAAATATCAGCAAAATCAGATTCACTGTGACTCACGTGCTAAAAGCAAGAATGATTTTCATTTGTAAGAAGAGATTAAATAAATTTATGATGTCTTCAAAACATTGGCATGAAGTAAAGATTTAATAATAATTACAAACAAAGCAGAAAATATTTAATTATCAATTTTATTTGATTTGATGCATTCTTTACGAGCTATATTGAATTATTCCCATCCACAGACAGCAATATTACCACTCGAGTGATGTCTTTAATTTTGAGTTCAAAGTTAAACTTCTTTGTTAGTTACGGTTGTGCAGCAATATTTTCCACTCACCTCTAGCTAAGATGCTGTGTGTAGATGCAGACAAACCTTGAGGTCTCATCAAGCCAGAGTTTCAAACCAGCGCACCCGTTAACGATTACCTGTCTCCAAACATTTCCCACCAGAAATATCACCATTAAAGCTTCCAATTAGAAACAGCAGAAAAAAACTCAGTTTGTTAGCACCTTTAGAGGATGCAGAGATCAGAGAGAGTTGTCTGGAGGTGAACACAAACTGAAGGAAGGCTTCACCTGCAGGCTTTTATGTGTTTTTTTCATGGTCACTACCCTGATTGTTGACCTAATTGCTCATTTCACTCACCTGACTAACTCTGCCCGGTTACTAATTGTCACTCATCTCCTCCACCTGCTCTGCTGCATACAGCTCAGTCCAGCTATTGGGGACAGATCATTGCAGATTTCATAGTTCATGTTTTTGTTTTCAGAGGCCAGTGGTGAAAGGGTGTTTGTTGATCCTAGCCAAGTTTTAAAGTACCATTATCTCCTTTCTATCTCTTCTTTCTTTCATCTTTTCTCTTTTTTTTCTTTTTTCCTTTTTCTTCTTCTGTTTTTTCTGCTCTATTTACATTGCAGTGTCCATATAAACTGTAAAACTCCCTGCATAATTATAATAAAGCAATTTATATGCATGAAACAAGTGGAGCAGTATGGCAATTGCCATACTGCTACACTTGTGAAAATAAAATCTGTTGGGCTCTTTTTGGCATCAAGACAATCATTCTTATTGCTACATTGCCAGACAGGACACTGTAAAAAAAAAAAAAAAAAGTAACAGTTTTCCTGTTTTCAGGCCTTGTTCTGCCTCTCAACTATTAAGACTGCCTGTTCCCATCTCAACAATCGACCTGGGCTCTTTGTTGGACCCATGGAACTCTGAACCTGCCTGAACTCTATGTAGATTCCTAGAACCATAGATCTGTCTGTTCCTGTTCTGATCGGAACCCCTGACTGGGATATGGACCCCTGGATCTCTGAACCTTCCTGTTCTGAACCTGGCTCGGACTCCTGCCTGTTCACTGGGCCTGCTGCATCTGGTTCACTCTGGGCTGCGCCCGCCGCATTTCGCTCTCTAAGGAGTTGGACTGAACTGTTAAACCAGGTAAATGACTCACATGAATAATCATCTTCCATCAGATTATCATGGTCACTTACCTCTCTTTCTGCCTAAACCACAGTTGCCAGTGATGGGTGGTGCCCCGCCTCACCCCTGCAGCCACTACAAATCCACAACTTCACGCTCTGTTCTGTGGTGATTTAAATAAATGTTTTGAATCTTCACACTATCTCTCTTGTTTTAAATTCATTGGGAAGCGGCTGTTCCAATCGTTGCATTTCCGAATTCTCCCAAGTAGTGCACGACTTTACACGAGTGAATAAAGTGAATGTGATTGGTCGTTTATCAAGGGGGTGGGATTGTTGTGGCTGAGGGTTCGCCACAACGGTACAATGGTTTTGATTGTGGCTGGTGTCTCGGAAGCATCTTGCTAACCAGTTAGCAACTTAGTGCTAGTAGGTTCCCAATGGGAAATTCCATTGGGACCAAGTAGCACTAAATTGGTGACTTAGAAACGACACAGTCAAGGAACGCTATGGACAGCAGAAACATGCAAGAGGAGGAGAGTTTTGTGTCGGAGGTCGTGGATGAGTCTCCTCCGGTATACATTTTTTATTAATAGAAATTTTCCAAATTCTGGGACAAGAGTACATTTATATACATGTTTAAACCAGAATAATTTGACATTCAAATATGACATCCCTACAACTTAAAATATTACAGCGATTCTAAAGGCTCTCCATTGGCTCCCAGTCTGTTTTCGGTTCCAGTTTAAAATCCTGGTGCTGACCTTCAGGGCCTTCAGGCTCCATCCTACATTAGAGACTTGTTGTGTCCTTATACCCCCTCTCGGAGGCTGAGGTCTCAGGACCGGAACCTGCTCACGCTCCCTCATACTCGTTACAGGAACAGGGGAGATTGCTCCATCCGGGCGGTTTCGCCGGCACTCTGGAACGATTTTCCACTTTCCTTGCACTTACTTGATTCTGTTGATGTTTTTAAGAGTGAACTGAAAAACCTATTTGTTAAGGAAAGCATTTTTATTCTAGTAGATTAAGAGTTGTTTTATGACCATGTCTTTTGTGACTGTAAATGTATTTGTATTTTTGTTAATTTTGTGAAGCACTTTGTGACATATATATTCTACATGCTATATAAATAAACATTACTTACTTACTTCTGGCCAGAGCAAAAACATGTAATATGTAGCCAACATTTTGAAGAAGAATGTTTTCAAGATGACTTGGATAATAGCGCGTTGTGACAAACAGTCGATACCACACCGTGACGTCACAAACCAGTAGGTGGCAGTATTGTTCTTTGACAAACATGGATGCCTCCGGTAAAGCACATTCAAATGAAAATTACTCTTGATTCAAAACAGTTATTATTTATTGAACAGTATGTAATAATTTCATATTTAAAGAACTTTCAAAAGATGAATTCTAAATATTCTAAATATCGTTTAAACAACCTGCTCAGCAGCCTTCAAAAAGATTTTTTTTGAGTATTGAAGTGCTACACAAGCCTGTTAATCATTGAGGAGCAATTTAAAGCATGCAGAGCAGACTATGACAATGGGAAATTCTGGCATTTCTTTTCTTGAACTGTTACATACCGAGCATTTCCTACGCTACTGGATCATCTTTACGGCAAAGAGGCCAGGTAAGGCAGATTAATGTACACACTTAAAATCAGAGAAGGTGATCACATAAACAAAAGTTATAATTTATTTAATTATTTTAATAAAAAAGTACTGACTGGAGCTTTAATTTTATGTATTTTATGTTCTTACGTTTAAAAAGTCTGTTTTGAGGTTCACTTCTTTTTTTTTCTTTTTACTTTGATAAAGATATTCACAGATGTGGCTTGTCCTGATCATTAGAGAAACATTCTCTCATCAGCGAAAAATTGCCTTTAGCAAACCGACATCATGTCTGCGATCGTGACGAGTATGAGCAGCCAAATCGCATCAAAAGCATGATCCTACACCGGTTGTCAAATGCCAAGGGACCGTCTGCAAATTGGAAAAACACAAAATATGATAAAGAAATCTTTATTTGTGTCATAAAGATTAGGTGTATTTTCATTAAAATCGTATGTGTGTCTATAGTCTCATATCTTGGAAAATAATACTTTTTTTTTGGAGAATTTCCTAAAGCCTAAAAAAAAAAAAAAAAGGTCCAATACAGTTTGATTTATAAATCAACATCTTTGAATAAAGGGCTTTGATTTTAAAGAAGTTTTATAATTTAAATGATTAATAGGTTACCTATCCTACTCTAACAATTCTTCTCTTAATGAGTATAAAACAAGCAAAAACTACACTAACATGTAGGACCATCAAAATTACAGCAAACTTAAGGAACATATTCCTGATCAAACCTTAACACCTACTTTGAGAAAATATGTCACAGACATTACAGATATTGTCCAAATAACATTAAGTGTTTCATTTTTTTTATTTTTGAGTTGTTAACAAAGTCGCTGTTGAATGTAGGGTGACATAAAAATAATCAAATCTACTCTATATTACGTTTACTCCATAACATTTGCGTTGTTAATTTCTACTCGATTCCCAGGATTTTTTTTAAGTCATGAAAACATTACAATGTCTTTCTTATTTTTAGTAGCAGCCAGGGCCGTATTTACCATTGAGGACACAGAGGTCATGCCCTAGGTATTTTTTTTTTTTTAATATTTATTAGCCTATTTGCCTAAATTTTGATAAACTAAAAATAAATTACACTGAAACTGACTGTAGGACACTGATCTAAGTTTCCAAAGGCAACCTTTTTATGGAACACATAATATGTTGAAAAAATAAATCTTATACTGTAAAGCTGTAAGAACACACATAAACACACCTTCTGCTCCTTTTCACCCATTACAGGCTTTCAGCAGTGAGGCTTAACCTTTTTGACAGAGCAAGGCGTTCTAACTAATATTTGAGAGAGGAACTCCTACTGCTGCTTATTTCATTCTTGTTTCCCTTTACAAAGAGACTAAGCAATCTTTTTATCCAAATGTTCTGTCTGTCTGGATTTAACTGCGCTGTTGGAAATACCTTTTAAAGTTTGAAAGCTGAATATAATTGCCTGTTTTGAAGACATTTTAACATCACATTCGTTTCAGGTAAGGATAGTGAGTTTGGCTTTAAGTTCCAAAGTTTGTGCTTTTTTTCCCATGTTACTATTTTCACATATCACTCGTTAAAAGAGATTTTTTTTTTTTGCACTTAGTTTATTTTAACTTGGTTAAACAAAATACTGTTTTGTGCTTAATAGGACAACCAACATGATTACAATTTATGGTTTTACAATATGCTTATGTTGTAAAACACTTCTGACTTCTGGTAAGAAATGACTTTTACTTGAACTTCATAATTAAGTCTACTGGAAAGGAGGGGTTTCCGTTTTATTATATATATATATATACATTTTTTTTTACAATTAGTTTCTTAGAGTTTTCCAGTTTTAGATGTTTCTCATGTTAGAAAATGAAATAAAATTGAAATTATTTTCCTTACTTCTTTGGTTTAAGGATGCATACGTGTCACTTTTTAAAGATGATTCATCATGGGAAATTCGTGGTTGTGTATCTCACAGAGTGGAGTTAATGTTTTTTTTTTTTTTTTTTTTTTTTTACCTCTGTCACCCTTAAATTTTATATGTATGTTTGGCACCCCTTTATTCTATCTGCTAACTAAAACCTTTTTAAACGTAATAACATCTCCGTGGATTTCTTGGATGAATCATCTGGACAACTTGTGTTTGGAAATGTTAAGGGCGCAGCGAGTCAGACCGGCTTCACTTATTTTTTTAAACCTACATTTATCGCTGATGAAATTGCTAATATAGTCAGCTTTGTATTTTATGGTATATTACATTTTCACTATTTTATTTCTCCTTTATTCAGTTTAAGCTTTTATTTACAACCAGGCGCCTTGTTAGTAGGTATGTGAATAAATATTTAAATACATAAATGAACGAAAGAGAGTTTGAGAGCTAAAAAAAATTATTTGTTTTCATACTTTATTGGGTACAAATCGCATGCATAGAAGTGAACTAAAATAATTCCAAAAAAATAAAACAATTTACTAAACTTTTATTTCTTTTCTGAAATGACTATAACCTGAAAGACTGAGTCTCATATATCTTATCATCTCCAGACACTCATTCACAGCCTTGTTCTTTACGTTAAAGAATAACTGCATCCAATAAACTGTGAAATTCTTTCAAATTTAAAAGCTCCATAAAATACTCTTATAGAAAAAAGTTAGCTTTCCACCTTGGCACGCAAGAAATGTTTTTCTTAAATTGCATCAGAAAACACTCCCTTTAAAAATGTGGTTTTGGGTTTTATCTGTCTGTTTATCAAAGATGACCAGGAGAGCCAATTATCTAAAGCTTAAATATAAAACTTATCACAGATCTTCTGATCTCTGCTTAGTAGTTGTCAACCTTTCAGGGAGGAAAAGGTCCTACTATTGGGGTTATAGTTGTTATTTCATGACCTAGTTTTTATGATTATCTTTCAATTGAAGCCTTTATATTTTCTTGCTTGTTCTTAATCAAAGTGTGTTTCCCGGAGGCTTGGAGTTGTCTAAAATATTTAGTTTGTTTCTTTACCAGTATCCCCACACTGGATTTATTCACATTATTAATGACCAAAAGCAGATATTCTTAACTTACTCAAATGTTCTGTTGTTAAACATTTGCTCCTGTTCCTCTTTTTTGCAAAGCTGTGTGGTTTTTTGTTGCCGGAAGAAACAACTGCAAGGGTATCAGATACTGTCCTTCAAAATGTCCTGCTGGGAGTGAATGCAGATTTGGTTTAGCAGGTTTAGCATGCTATACAGTTTCAGGTAAAATCTCTTTTTCCAAGTAAAATCTATGGAAGCCCTAATCATTTTTTTCTGCCCTGAAAGGCAAGAAAAAAATTTCTCACTGTTTGCTCTTGTGGTTTGAGGTTAAAAACTCTTTAAGTTCCTCAGAGTTTTTAACTTAAAGATTAGAATCTCTTTAACTTCCCTTCTTTAAGTTCCCATTTAGCTGTTATAACTAAAAAATAAATAGATATAATAATTGAAGGATTGATATTTAAATTGTAACATATTATTTCTTACACCCATGTGTAACTTAAGTTAACTTATGATAAGCAGTGACTAACAGCAAGTCTAAGGTTATCTGGGAAATACAGTCTTTATCCGAACACAGAGTACCGTAGTTATGATGTTGCCCTACAATTATCCTGGATGATCCCTTGCTCATAAAAAATACAAGGTTGATAGGATAACCACATGCCATGGCCAACAAGCTTGTTTTACTACTCAAAAACCTGGGAAATACAGTCTTCATCTGAACAAAGAGTAGTTATGATGTTGCCCTACAAATATCCTGGATGATCCCTGCTAATAATTCTTTATTGCTCATAAAAAATACAAGGTTGATATGATAACCACATGCCATGGTCAACAAGCTTGTTTTACTACTCAAAAATATATCATATATTTGGGACATTGATTCTTGAACACCAGGCCTCTCTGACTATACAGTTAAACAATACAACTGTGAGTGACTGTCTGTCTTATTACGTCAGTGCCTCTAGTGGCAAAATAAAGTATTACAAGAACAAACAGAAAATTTTGCCTTTCATTTTTTATTTATTAATTTTTTACTTGCCTTTCAGGGCAGAAAATAAGACAAGAACAACAACAACAAAAAACTTCAAAACCTCCGTTTCCAGATTTTTTTCTCTCTTGCCTTTCGGGGCAGAAAATAATACAAGATTAAAAACAAAAAACTTTTCTTTTCCAGATTTTTTTTCTGTCTTGCCTTTCCGGGCTTCCGTAAAAATCTGAAAAGTGCAACATATGTTTGTTTTTTAGCCGTCCTGAGTCTGTCCTTTACAGAACCAGATTTAACCGCACATTCACCTACAAGCCCTTTGCTTTCGGCCTTTACCAGCTTTGAATACTGCAGGAGAAAAAAATTCTGTCTATTATTCTCTGCTAATTTCGCTGCAGTGCTAGTTGGTCTGTTGTACTCAACAGATGTACGAGTCTGCCACAGGACAGATACTGAAGCAAAAATGTTGGTGATGCGGATGTTAATTTCTAGAAACATTTAACTGAAATGCTATTTGCAGTGACCGTACAAAGCAGAAGGGAAAAAGTGACAAATTGTCTCTAGGTAGTCAGGAAAAACATGATTGGTATCAGTTGAGTTCTAAAATATCTACATATGGGATATTATCCAAAATTTGAATATTGTGCAAATGACTCTCTTATTTGCTGGTTCTGGCTCTTGTGAGCAAACAGCAGAAACAACTTTAATTCAGTTCACTTCCTTTTAAATCCGAAAGCATAATAATCCAAAAGACAAATGAAAGATGTTGTGACTCATGTTCCTGCTGTTTCTTAATGATCAGGAAAATATCTCCTGGTGTAGTTGTCTTCCATCTAACCTGGAGATTTCTCTGACTGAAGACACCCAGGGTGCTCAAAGTTTCCCATAAACTCAAAAGGTGGACAGTGACTACTTACTGTCAGGTTATGAGATATTTTGAAGAGGACCCAAATGCAGAAACGGTGGCAGAGTTTTGTTTTCTTATATTTATTTAGATGAATGCAGCAAATAATAACTGCAAGGCAATTTGTACACAGGAAACAGAGTAGAGAAACACAGGAGGTGAAGAACAGGCAACCATGAAGGCATTTGCTGAGTTCGACTTCAGCGGCTGTATCCTCCTAAGGCCAGAGTACGTCATAGCATTATGTCATTCCGTAATGGCGTGATGCCAAGGCCGGTTCAGATTGGAAGACTCCTCTTTATGCGGCTGACAAATGCAGCCTTCTTTTTGCCAGTTTCCCAGGACGGGTCTGGTGTATCCTACTTAGCCTTGGGTATCCCATGATTCATAGTGAGTCCAGGCAAGCCGGCTGCTATGTGCTTAGAGGAAAAAAGGAAATGGCGCCAGATAGTGGCGGATAATGTAAGTGCAATTAAACATAATACATGTGAATAGTGCCGTCTGAAATCAATGGAAGAATTTGTTGTTAATATTTAAAGTTTAGAACCAAAAATGTAAACCTTAGATAAAAAGGTAGTCAAATAAGTGGTGTCCATGTGTGGATAATGTGTATGTATTTATTTAAATCTGTGTAAATCCCTTTATTGTCCCACAATTAGGAAACTCACTCTCTGCATTTAACCCATCCCTTTGGGAAGCAATAGGCTGCCATTGTGCCATTTGGTACCTCTTTTGATTTCCAATCTTCTGGCCAGACTCCTGTGAATCTCTTCGCCACTGGCTTTGGCTTTTGCCCTCTGGATTGTCCTCGATTCCTTTGTCTGCTTGGATCTGATCTCCTGCCAGTTCTGCAGTGTCCAAGGCTTCAGGTTTTGGAAAATCTCTGGGCAGCGTTCCCCATGTCGTGTTGGCAGCCATCCAACTGGAACCCACCTCCTGCTTTAGACACCCCAGCTGCTCACTGCAGATCTGTGGTTGTTAAATAAATGCTCTTTGAAATATCTTATTGTCTGTCTGTCCGAATACTGTCCTCTGTTATGAGCCTTGACATGTTATGCATCAGGAGGGCTGTTTGTTGTTTCACAAGTCATACATTAGTTATTTTTATTATTTATTTATATAATCATTATCAATACTATTATTATGGAACATACCAATTCAACCGTGAAATAATGCGGGCATTAGGATACTGGCTCAATTGTAGTTCTGAAAGCTGTCCAGCAGATGCCGCCATTCCGAACTGTTTCAAATGTATTGAGCATGATGTACAGTTTTTTTCTCCAAATGTTTGAAATAGGTTTATTGATTCCTGGGGCTTCGAATTTGCCATCACTACCTGGAAGAAATGTTGCAAATAAAGTTGCCTTCAGCTCTTGCTGCAGGAGAGCTGTATCCTGGATTGTCTTATCTTTGCATTGAAGAGAAATTGCTGTTCATGTACAACTTTTAACAAGAGTCAATGGGCAAAGATTTCTGCGCGTTGTTAAAGATAGGCTCTGTGTCTGCACCCTGATGCTCTATCTTTCCTGTTCTTTTTCCTGTAAAGAGATCACTCGGGACAAACTCTTTAAATAATACTTCATAACTTCTCCTCCACAGACTGGTGTCCTGAAGATCAATTTGAATGACTGACAACGAATGGACTGAATATTTCTGCAATGGGTCCCCATCAACGGCAGCCATCAGCACCACTACGGAAAATAAAACAGCTTTTGGGCTCCAGTCTTCTCATCACCGTCCTGTTGATTGTAGTGTTCAGTGGGACGTATAGGTGGGTGGACGTCCTTCTCTAATCTGAGCTAGATCTAACTGTTCAATCAATTGAAAAGATACTAAGGATAAAAAGTCAGTTTTTCCACTGAGCATAACTTTAAGATAATCTAAATGGTAAATGGACTGTCATTATATAGCACCGTTTTGCATACAGCCACACATTCACAAACACATTCACATCTGATGATGGTAAATGCTGGTGGTCCTCAGTATGCATTCAGTATGTATTATTAACACTACACACTAAGAGGTATAATGTTGTGGCCCTCTCTTCATTGTTGCTTAGGTTTATTTTAAATTGCATGCCTTTGTGTCTGCTCAGTTCTTGTAAGGTCCCTATAGATTATTTTTATCAACTTAATGACTGGACTCTGACTGCAACTGCACTGTTTTTATGGTTTAGTTTATGGTAGCTGCAGTTTATGTACAGCGGAGAGGCAAAGCCTATACATATGTTCAACGGAAGGGCAGCTTTGACCTCGGAGACCCCTGGGAGAGGCACTTTGGATAATATCATATTCTAAGCTTATGTCTGGAATCCCGAATGTGGCTGTGTGTGTCCCGAAATTTAAACTTATACAAACTTATATAAGGATAACTTTTTAACCCCAGGTACACATCTCAAACTATTTGCTACTGCCGGCTGTGCCGCCGAGAGGCTGCTTGCACAGCCCCAAATATGTTGAGTGGCTGCATGCGGCCCCGGCTACAATGTATCTATTTTGTTATCTTTTTGACATTCTAATTCCATTTGATTGCAACAGTAAGCACGATTAATGACCATCGCAAATTTTCACTTTCACTGACGTTAGTGACATGGCAGAGGAAGAGCCCCACCATGCAAGTGAAAAACAGAAGCAACAAAGCAGGTATAGGAAGGCATGGAAGAAGACATATTCATAGATTCATTGACAGATGAATCAAAGGCTTTCTGTAAACTGTGCAGAAAAGAGTTTGGCGTTTCTCACGGCAGCAATTGCATGCTAGTCGTAAACTACACTGTACTAATGCCACAACAGGACAAAGAAATACGCCAGTGTCTTCTTTCTTTAAGTTGTAATCACTTGTAATCACATCTTGTAATCACATCTGATCAATATACGCTACTAACGTATAAACCCAAACATTCCACGTTTTGGGTAACAAAGCCAAGGAGCCATGATGAAGTGAAATTAATCCATGTCTTACCATTAGACGACTTTCAAGCAGCATTAAGTTGCTGAACCTCTTTTACGCACCTTCCAACAGTTTTCTTTTTCAGTTTTTTCTTTTTTTTAATATTATCTTGAACCAACATAGAGCTCACTGTTTGGTTTTTCTTTAAAGAAGTGACATCAAATGAAACCAGTGTCTCCTGGATACTGACATGCCAGCTGCAAGTGTAGCGACCAATAGTTCTGTCATCAGCGAATAAAAATGTAATTTATAATCGCTGTTACGTCCACAAGGGGACAACATATTTGATGTCACAGAAAAAACTGAGGGTACAAAATAATTTATTTTTATTTATTCTGTAGTTTACTCTCTTTTAAAAAACCCTCTTTCTCAAGACAGCTGTGGGGATGTTCTGTAGATAAAAAAAGAGAAAAAACAGAATTAAATATCCTCAGCTTCTGTGTGTTATGTGCTTCGGGCACATTATGATTTTTGTCTATTTCTTTTCTTTGTTTTCTTACAGACTTTAGTTGAAGGACCTTTTGTTAATATATTTTGGGAGTTGAATAATTCTTTTGGCCAGTTAATTATGTTAATTTGTGGTGCTGTTGTCCGCCTATAAATAGGCTGGCTTTCGGCATGTTGAGCGCTCCCTCCCATTCCACCTGCTTCCGCTCGTTCCACCGTGCGCGGTGCGCGTTTGTCTTGTCGCTGCGGACCGCAGCGGACGCTCCAGCCTGCCATGCGGTATTTCGGTTAGCCGTTGCTTGGTTTTTTTTTTCCTCTTGTTCTTGTGGTTTTGGCCTGGTGGGACCGGTTGTCCTATTTTCGATTTTTCTTTTGCTTAGGTTATTTTGTTCTTTAGTCCGGTAACAGTAGGGGCTTCGACGGCCCTATATAGGGTTGGCCCCCTGCTGTACCGTTTTATTCTGTTTGATCGGCTTGCCAGGTCCAACTTTCTGTTGTTACTTTTGGGTTTTTTTTTTATTCCTTTGGGGCACGGGATTTGAGGGCCTCTAACTTTATTTTTCTTCGCAGAAAATCAGAAGAAGCTGAGCCAAGAAAACTAAAGTGGAGAGAATTTATGAATAAAATATTGTGTTGAACCCTCATCTTTTTGTCTCGTGTCCTCAAATATGTTGTGCCCTTGGTGGACGTAACATATTTATGGGGGCTTGTTTAAACAAAGTTTACCTTTAGAAACAGGTAGTGTCCTACGGTTGATTCATGTTTGTTGGCGGTTATGCTGGTTTTGTGTGCATTTTTGCACAGCTGACGCGTGTTGCGCTGGTTAATTAGAACATTCGGTTCTGGTGGTGTTGTAGCTTTGTTTGTGCAGGAGTGTTCCTGATTTAGTGTGGCTTGATTCCAAGGGTAGACATGGAGTTTGACCTGGATGAGTTTGTTCGAGAGCCCACATTGGATACTTTGTGTAAATGCACAAAGGATCAGTTGCTGTTAATAGCCGAGCATTTCAAGGTTACCGTAGATAAACGTGTTAAAAGAGGAACAGTTGAAGCTGAGTTGTTAGAAGCACTGGTTCAGATAGGAATTTTTCCTGCTACAATTTTACCAAAAAGTCCTGTTGGATCGCCATCGAAAGCTTCGTTGAAAGATGACCCGATTCATTTGAAGGAACTGGAAGTTGAATTGGGACGGCTTGCTTTGAGAGAGAAGGAGCTGCATCTTGAACAACGACGATTGGAGATAAAAGCCGAACTGCGTTTGAAAGAACTCGAGCTTGGTGCTGAGTCTTCACAACCCAAATCAAATGATTTTGACGTGAGTAAAAATGTTCGCCTGGTTCATCCATTTAATGAGCAGGATGTTGATAAATACTTCACATTATTTGAAAGAGTGGCACTCACACTTAAGTGGCCTAAAAATGTGTGGACTTTGTTGTTACAGTGTGCATTAAGTGGTAAAGCGCAAGAGGCATATGCGTCTCTTTCTGTGGCTGATAGCCTTGATTTTGAAAAAGTTAAAGGTGCTGTTTTGAGGGCGTATGAACTAGTACCAGAAGCTTATCGTCAAAAATTTCGTAGGTTAAAAAAACGCTACAATCAAACTTGGACTTCAATGTGGATTTTGTTAGAGATAAAGAGATTCTCTTTGATCGTTGGTGCGCTTCTCAAAATGTTGCCGATTTTGCGCAGCTGAAGCAACTTATTTTATTGGAAGACTTTAAAAACAGTTTGTCTGAGAAAGTTACCACCTACTTGAATGAAAATAAAGTCTCAAATGTGTCAAAAGCTGCAGTGCTCGTTGATGAGTACATGTTAACGCACAAAGGTAATTTTGAGCGCTCACATGTCTTTAGTAAATTTGACAACTCTGAAAGTAACGGGAAGGAGTGTGCCAAAACTGTTTCACTTGTCGAATCAGATATACCTGCTGCGCTCGGTGGCGTTGAAGGCAAATCGGATAACAGGTTGGAATTAAAAGCTAATGTAACGTGTTTTTATTGTAAAAAGAGAGAACACATTGTGGCCAATTGCCCAGTTTTACAGAAAAAGAACACTAAGCCAGTCGCTCTAATTAAAACTGTAAATGGCATTACTCATTCACTTTCAACACAGCCTTGCGAGTATGCTGATTTCAAGCCTTTGTTATGGATGGGTTTGTTTCTTTGTCTCTAACTGGTGAAAAGATCCCTGTAAAAATATTGCGAGACACTGCTGCCTCTCAATCTTTTATTAGGGAGGGAATTTTACCGTTGAATAGTGACACTGCGATTGGTTCTGATGTGCCAGTGCGTGGCTTTGGCATGCAAGACATCTGCGTTCCTCTGCACAAAGTCATGATCCAGTCTGAGCTGTGGTCTGGTGACGCTGTGGTTGGGGTGCGTCCTAGTTTTCCAATAGCGGGCGTCTCCATGATCATGGGCAACGACTTGGCTGGGGGTCGAGTGTTGGTTACTCCGGATGTTACACCTGTTCCGGTGTTGAGCGACTGTCCAGATGCGCTCGCTCGTAAATTCCCAGATGTTTTCACGTCGTGCGCAGTTACGCGTGCGGCACTTAAACGTCAACGAGAAGAAAATAAAGATGAGTTTGACTTGAGTGAAAGTTTTTTGTTCAACGCTGAATCCGAACATGTTCCATTGAGGAAAACTGTGGAGGATGACATGTTGGATGTAAATACACTGTCATGGTCTAGACGGCAGTTGATCGAGCTCCAAAAGACTGATAAAAGTTTGGAGTCATTGTTTGGCGATGCATTAACTGATAAGTCTGACTCCATTTCTACTGGCTATTTTTTGGATGATGGTCTTCTGATGCGTAAATGGACCCCTGTGAATGTGTCTCCTGTTGAAGAGTGGAGTGTGGTGAAGCAGATTGTTGTTCCATCTCCATATCGTTCAGACATTTTGCGGTTAGCACATGATAATCCGTTAGCAGTTCACCTTGGCATAAGAAAGACCTATGATCGCATTTTGCGTCATTTCTTTTGGCCAGGTTTAAAGAGCGATGTCGTGCGCTACTGTAATTCGTGTCACTTTTGTCAAGTATCTGGAAAGCCAAATCAGACGATTTCTCCTGCTCCTTTGTATCCCATCCCAGCCATCGCTGAACCATTTGAAAGAGTATTAGTTGACTGTGTGGGTCCGTTGCCTCGAACCAAAGCGGGGAATAAGTTTTTGGTAACAGTGATGTGCACCTCTACTCGTTTTCCAGAGGTTTTTCCGGTGCGTAAAATATCTACGCCTGTAGTGGTTAAAGCATTAACAAAGTTTTTTTCATTGTTTGGTTTACCTCGGGTTGTGCAGACTGACCAAGGGTCTAACTTCATGTCTAAAGTTTTTGCACAGGTTTTACGTCAATTTGACATAAAGCACTGTCATTCCAGCGCTTATCACCCGGAGAGTCAGGGCGCACTCGAGCGTTTCCATCAAACTTTAAAAACAATGCTTCGCACCTACTGTTTGGAGTTCGAAAAAGACTGGGATGAAGGTGTACATTTACAACTGTTTGCTATTCGGGAGGTGGTTCAGGAGTCTCTGGGGTTTAGCCCGTCGGACTTGGTTTTTGCTCACACTGTTCGCGGTCCTTTAAAGCTGTTAAAAGAGAAGTGGTTGTGTGAAAAATCTGACCAAAATTTATTGGACTACGTCAGTAACTTCCGGCTGAAGTTGAGCCGTGCGTGTGAGATAGCTAAAGAGAATCTTAAAACTGCACAGGCTAAAATGAAGTCTTTGTTTGACAGAAAGGCAATTTTGAGAGTTTTTCAGCCTGGGGAGAAAGTGTTAGCGTTACTTCCGGTTCCTGGTTCCAGCTTGCAAGCGCGCTACAGTGGGCCTTATACAATCACGAGAAAGGTTGGAGATCGCGATTATCTGATCTCTACTCCTGACCGGAGGCGGACTTCACGCTTATGTCATGTTAACATGCTGAAGCCGTATATCGAGCGTGTGCCCACTCTACATAAATCTGTCAGTTGTTTTTCCAGTGAACGAGATGATGCGTGCGTCGGGGCAGCTGCAGACGCACGGGAGGAGCTGTCCAGTGCTGAACCTGAAGGTGACGTTTTCTCCCCGGCTGTCACTGAAGGGAGGGTTCCAAATTCAGAGATGTTGGAGAACTTGCCTCTCTTGTTGTCCCACCTTGACTTTTCCAAACAGGCTGATGTAATTCATTTACTCTAGTCTTATAGGTCGCTGTTTGCAGATATTCCCACTCAGACTCGTGTGCTCAGCCATGACATTGATGTTGGTGATTCCAAGCCTATTAAACAACACCCGTACAGAGTGAACCCAGACAAACGGCGCCGTTTGAAGACGCAGGTGGAGTACATGGTGGAACATGGACTTGCTGTTGCCAGCAGTAGTGCGTGGAGTTCGCCATGCCTCCTGACTATTAAAGCCAATGGAGAGGACCGTTTCTGTACGGACTTCAGGAAGGTAAATGGGGTGACTAGGCCGGATTGTTATCCACTCCCTCGTATGGAGGATTGTGTGGACCATGTGGGGGCTGCCCAGTTTGTGACAAAGCTGGATTTGCTGAAGGGGTACTGGCAGGTGCCCTTGACGGCAGGAGCCCAGGAAATTTCTGCTTTTGTCACACCCGATGATTTCCTTCAATACACCGTGATGGCTTTTGGGATGCGCAACGCCCCAGCGACGTTTCAACGGCTAATGAATGTTGTTTTTTCTGGTTTATCATTCTGTGAGGCTTATTTGGATGACTTGGTGATTTGTTCTTCTACATGGACTGAGCACGTTGACCATTTAAGAACTGTTTTTACGCGTCTGAGTGAGGCTAATTTGACAGTTAATCTCTCTAAATGCCAATTCAGCCACGCGACGGTGACCTATCTTGGAAAAAGGGTGGGGGGAGGTCAAGTGCGCCCCGTTGAGGCTAAAGTAGAGGCCATTTTATCTGTTACGGTACCCACCACTCGTACTGAGCTACGCCGCTATCTAGCGATGGTTGGCTACTACAGGGGGTTTTGTAAAAACTTTTCCTCTGTAGCTGCCCCTTTAACAGACATACTTAGCTCTAAATTGGCTTTTATTTAGTCTGATCAGTGTCAATCTGCTTTTGAGCAAACTAAACATTTGCTAGTTAATGCTCCTGTGTTGTCTGCCCCTCGTTTTGATGTACCATTTAAGTTGGCCGTGGACGCATGTGATTCTGGTGTCGGAGCTGTCCTGCTCCAGGATGGTACTGATGGGGTGGAACATCCGGTTTCTTATTTTTCAAAGAAACTTGACAAGAAGTATCAGAGATGGTATTCCACCATTGAAAAGGAGGCATTAGCGTTGGTCCTGGCTTTAGAACATTTTGAGGTGTATGTTGGAGGTTCTAGCGGATCTGTGGTTGTTTTTACGGACCATAATCCGTTAGTTTTTCTGGATCGCATGCGTAATAAAAACCGCCGCTTGATGAACTGGTCTCTACGACTCCAATCATTTAACATCTCTATACAACATGTTCGTGGTAAAGACAACGTAGTGGCCGACGCACTCTCACGACTCTAGTCCCGTTTTTTTTTTTTTTTTTTTTCTTCTGAATGGGTTGAGTTTTTTTTTACTTCAAACCCCATTCAGAGTCTTTGGGTGGGGGTGTTATGTGCTTCGGGTACATTATGATTTTTATCTATTTCTTTTCTTTGTTTTCTTACAGACTTTAGTTGAAGGACATTTTGTTAATATATTTTGGGAGTTGAATAATTCTTTTGGCCAGTTAATTATGTTAATTTGTGGTGCTGTTGTCCGCCTATAAATAGGCTGGCTTTCGGCATGTTGAGCGCTCCCTCCCATTCCACCTGCTTCCGCTCGTTCCACCGTGCGCGGTGCGCGTTTGTCTTGTCGCTGCAGACCGCAGCGGACGCTCCAGCCTGCCATGCGGTATTTCGGTTAGCCGTTGCTTGCTTTTTTTTTTTCCTCTTGTTCTTGTGGTTTTGGCCTGGTGGGACCGGTTGTCCTATTTTCGATTTTTCTTTTGCTTAGGTTATTTTGTTCTTTAGTCCGGTACCAGTAGGGGCTTCGACGGCCCTGTATAGGGTTGGCCCCCTGCTGTACCGTTTTATTCTGTTTGATCGGCTTGCCAGGTCCAACTTTCTGTTGTTACTTTTGTTTTTGTTTTTTATTCCTTTGGGGCACGGGATTTGAGGGCCTCTAACTTTATTTTTCTTCGCAGAAAATCAGAAGAAGCTGAGCCAAGAAAACTAAAGTGGAGAGAATTTATGAATAAAATATTGTCTTGAACCCTCATCTTTTTGTCTCTTGTCCTCAAATATGTTGTGCCCTTGGTGGACGTAACATGTGTCCAAAAGAAAGGGAAAAAGAAAAAAAAAGAACAAAACAAAGTATTAACAGAAAGTTGGACCTGGTGAGCAGATCAAAAACAAAAAAACAGTACAGCAGGGGGCCAACCCTATACAGCCCCTACTGGTACTGGACTACAAAAATAAACTACTAAGCAAAATAAAGAATCGAAAACAGGACAAGCGGTCCCACAAGACCGAAATCAAAATGACATCTTGTCTAAAATAGGAGAAAATTCTGAATGCTATATTTAAATGAATGCCGCACTAAATCACAAAAGATTTAACAACAAATTTGTACACGAGCGAAAGGTTTTCCTCCAAAGCCCAACCCCCATCCACACCTTACCCGATCTTATCATGGACCAACAGAACCGAATCACACCTTTTTCTAACAAACTTCAATAAATCACTATGTCAGACTTCCATATTATCTGAGGAATAAAGATAAACATAGTTTTACTCAAATTAATATGCCTTGTGATTTCCATGCTTCTTACATATGTCAGGATTTTGAACTTGTACCAAAGAGTAAACTACTCACCTATATAACCTCGTCTTTCCTCAGGATACAAAATTAAAAAGAGAGATCATATCTCGCCTATCCTGGCTTCTCTTCATTGGCTTCCTGTTAAATCAAGAATAGAATTTAAAATCCTCCTTCTCACATATAAAGCCTTAAATGGCCAAGCACCATCTTATATCAGAGATCTGATTGTTCCTTATGTTCCTAACAGAGCACTTCGCTCTCAATCTGCAGGTTTACTAATGGTTCCTAGAATTTCTAAAAGTAGAATGGGAGGCAGATCTTTTAGTTATCAGGCTCCTCTCCTGTGGAACCAACTACCAGTTTTAGTCCGTGAGGCAGACACCCTGTCTACTTTTAAGGCTAGGCTTAAAACTTTCCTTTTTGATAAAGCTTATAGTTAGGGTGGCTCAGGTTATCCTGAGCTATCTCTATAGTTATGCTGCTATAGGCTTAGACTTTTGGAGGACATAGGGACCCCCATTTCATCATTCTGCTTCATTCTCTCTCTGTTCTCCTATTCTGCAGAATCTGTTAGTTCAATCTCTAACCTTCTGCTCTCTCTGCTTTTCCTCAGAGTAGCTTTGCCTCGTCTGTTCCTGTTTGGCTGTGACGTCATCCTGGAAAGAAACATCAGCTGTGCTGCTTCCATCAACACCCTTGTTTATAGATGTTGGAGATCGGCCTGTTTTCCAGTGTGGTCCTGTTTCTCTGGCCGTGACTGAGTGGATGTGCTCTCTTCGTCCTCTGGCATGGGAGCTGCCTTGGAGCTCGTCTGCCTGGCTGTGTGTTTCCTGGACGGGGCCGCCTTTTACAGCTGCTTTTTGTATCTCTGCTTCTGTCTCCTAGAACCCCAGTCGGCCTCGGCAGATGGCCGCTCACACTGAGCCTGGTTCTGCTGGAGGTTTCTTCCTGTTAAAAGGGAGTTTTTCCTCTCCACTGTCGCTACAAGCATGCTTAGTGTGGGGGATTGTATTTGAGTCAATGAGTCAATGCAATCAACTGGTTTTCCTTAGATAGAAAACTTTGTATCAATTTGACTGTATGATCTGGTTGAACTGTAAAGTGCCTTGAGATGACATGTGTTGTGAATATGGCGCTATATAAATAAACTGAATTGAATTGAATACAAACAACAAAACACTCAGGTAGGCTACTGATTATTCATTTTTGATTTATTCATAAATCTATTGCCTTTTAATACAGCAACCAAAAGTTTGCAGTTTACAAGAGATTTTTATCTTTTTCTCATTCAGCTCCACAGAGAGATGAAGCCTCATTTATTGCTGTCAAAATGACAAAGACATTGTTGATATCAGCTTATCTAGAACACCGTTCCAATAAAAGAGAGGTGAGCAAAAGTGTTTTATTCTCTTGTTTCATAAGTAATGTCCAACAATTATGATCTATTCAGTGTATATCACCGTTCAAAATGTTCAAAATGTATTTTATGTTTGTGAAGTTTATCTTGAATACTTTTGAGGTTAAATTAACGTTTAACTAATTTACAGTAATTTTAATGTGTTCACACCAATTCATAATGCATATCCAATAAAACATTTTTTGTTAAAATAATGCTTCATTAATGGATTTGATTAATCAGAAACCAATAAGCTTTAGTTGACTGATTCTTAATCTGTTGATTGAGATAGCAGCTAGCCAACATGAGGGGACTCCTCCTAAAGGACTCTTTGGTCATATTTTGGTTATCAAATATGATTAATATACAAAGAAACAAATGAACAGGAACAATATATTAATGTTCAAACCCTTGTTAAATAAAGTTTGTTTTAGCTTTATAAGACAAAAGCTCAAAACATGTCAGCAGGGTGTACCATGCCATTGTACTTCTTAACTTCTTTTACACAACAATAAACAGATGAAATGATTAAAAAACCATCAAAAAGGAGTAGTTAAAAACTGCTGATCTCATTTTGCAAAAAAGGCTCAGTTGTCTCTAGTATTTGGCAGCTTAGCATGGCAGGCCCACAGCAGGGAAGCCCCCTTTGTGGTAAATGATCTGTTCTTATACAGTGCTTTTTCAAGTCAGATAAGTTTTAAAAAAGCGCTTCACACTACATTCAGTCATTCACACATTCACACGTTGATGGTGGCAAGCTTTCTATTCATCTGAAAGTTTCCTGTTACCAGAAATGTTGCAAACGATCTGTTTTTTTCAGTTTGGTTCTAAAGTTAGCCACAATGGCGTCTCTACTGATGTTACTGTATCTTCAGGAAAGCAACATGTTTCTTTTGAGTTTATTGTTTTCTCCTCAAGCACTGTAGGGGGGAGGGTTGCATATCTTTATAGGAGTGTAGTAGAAAGTGTCCAACAGCAGAGCAAAAATGCATCATTCTACGCATATGTTTATCATCAATATCAGCATTGACAGTGTCCCCAATGTTGAAAATTCATATAATGGTTTAAGGCTAAACACAAGAGTCCAGAGAGTGACTAATTAGGGTACTACAAGCTGACATGGCATGAGTGAGCCAGGACCACTCAAGGTGTTGTGGGGCAATCACCTCTTTCTCACCACCTGAAAATACAGAGAAGAAAAGTTGATCTAAGAAATAAGATTGTAGACTACTCTGGAAACCCTTGGCCAAAGCCAAAGTTAAATAGTAAAATCTAAACTATGTTGTGGTATGCATGATGCTATGCAAATAGCAGTGAGATAGTGGCTTTAAAAGGAAATTCTGCATATTACTCAAGGCTTGACTGGTTTACCTAAAAGCTAGCAACAGTATTCCCAGAATCAGAGATTGTCACAGTGGCAGACACAGAATGCATGTTTAAATTAGTAAATGTAAGTCAATAAACCTGAATTATGTATGATTTGCAGTTCTCCTTTGTTGCCAACTCCCCCACAGATGTGACATGAAATGTCTCATCTGTGAGAATACAAGTAAATCACAAATCTGCAAGTATGGATCCACAAGACATCACCCTGCTTACAAGATGATGGAATTAATGCACGTAAAGTTGCTTTTCATGTGCCTTTAAAAGAGAAGAGGAAGAAGACACAAACTGAACCATAGATCAAAGATTATTTGGTGCATGTGTTGAAAAGGGATTTTAATTGAAGATGTACAGTAATGTTCAAACGATGTATATGTTTTTTTTTTTTGTTCTTCCTCCTCTACTTTATTATCCTGTACGTAGATGGAGTGAGTTAAATCAGGTTTTGAGCAGAGAACAGAATTTTGAGCATGACTGGTTGGTGTGTAACAAACTGGCCCTCAACATCTCTAAGACTAAGTGCATGGTGACTGGTTTAAAGCACAAGCTATCCACAAGCTCAGAGTTTGATTTACATTTTTGTGGCTTGATGGTTCAACAAGTTAAAAGTGCCAAACTCGTTGGTGTGATGGTAGACTGTTCTGTGTCTTGGTCTCACAACATTGATTATATTGTTGTTGTTTTTTTGAATTGTTGATATTGTTTTGAAAATGGGAAGAGCAATTAGTACTGGAAGGAAATGCCTTTTGTGGCCCATCCCCTTCTATGTAAAATAGTTCAGAGTCTAGTCGTATGTCATCTTGACTATTGCTCTACATCTGCTGCCAGGGGTGAACTCAAAAAGCTCCAGATTGCTCAGAAAAAGGCAGCACAGTTGGTACTGGGGTTCCCCGTTAGTCTCTGTTGGTGAGACGTACCGTGTTCACTTCCTGTTTTGTCTGCTGAGCTGCATTGTTAATCAAGCCATCCCTGTTTGAGTTAGGTTACTTTTTTCTGTGATATCTCTGTATCTAAGTCAATCTAACTGTCCATGAGCACTTTAAAACATAATGCCTTCTGTTGTAGAAACATGGCATTAGAGGCACCAATGTCCATAGTGAAATGTTTGACGGGGGCCAGAATGGGCAACATCAAATCCTACCTGAAACTGCTGGCTAAGGATAAAGTTAAATACAATAGTAAAATACAATAACATTGTTATTCATGGTGGTGGTAATGACATCTGGTTATGCTGATCGGAGTTTACTAAAATGAGTGTTGCCTCGGTGTGTAAGTTTGCCAAAACAATGTCGGACTCTGTAAATTTCTCAGGTCCCTTCATGATGACATGTGTAGATTAATGTCATCATTCAACTACTGGTTGTCTAGGTGGTGTCTTGAAAACAATGTGGGCTACATTAATAATTGACAATCTTTTTGGGGAAACCCTGGTCTTATTCCGAGAGACAGGATCCATCCCACTTTGGATGGTGCAGCTCTTCTTTCTTAACCTGGCAGTAGTCAGATTGATATGCCAGCTAGTATCTGCCTTCCATAATAGGCTTTCAGCCAATCATAGCAGGGAATTGTGACATTTTTATCAGTAAGCTGATAAATCAAACTTTTTCCAAATCCTGTCAGAAGAAAATCACAGGCATCTTTCCCATCTACAAATGCACAAAGTGCTTCTGTTTGAAAAGCACAGACATCTTTCCTTTCTAAAAATACCCAAAGTGCTTTGCTTTGCTCCTTTTTTAAACAAGAAATTGCTGTTATTTTAGCTAAAACTGAGTCAATTGCTGTATCGACAGGTGAGTCCTCCATAATAGCTTTGTTCGTAATGCCCCAGCAAGGCCCTTCTAATTGTTGTCATTCCTACATTTCCCGCCCCATAAAACACTGCTGGCATTTATTGGTCCAACTCTCTGGTTTTAAGAGACAGACGTATTAGCTAGAGTCTTTTGAGATGGATTTGTTGTGAGACTGAAAACTCAGATCTCTCAGAAATACAGCTTGCAGCGCATGGTTACTTCTTTCTTACTTCCTAGGAATCTGGACAAATGTATTAGTCTTCCAAAACCCTGACAACCCAGGGTGCACAGCAGGAAGCAGAGTCGTAGTTTAAAGGCACACTATGCAACATTTTTCAGTTAATTAATGTGTTCCATAACGTTTTGGATGATTAAATGAGTCATTTCAGGTTGAACAAAGGTATTCTCGGCCGCCCTGGTGGTCTGTGGGGGAAATACTGCACTTACAATTGCAGGAGCACCGACCCGCACCCACGGGCTCAGAAGTCTCGTGAGAGTCAGTCTTGCTTTACGGCCGAGAACTGCTAGCCCCCCAGTTAAAAGCATTCTCGTTGCTAGCACAGTGGCGATCCTTGTGCAGTTATGCTACGTTCACGCAGCAAAAGCAGCAAAATCGTGTCTGCTGCTTAATTTTTGCTGCTTGTGCCAGTTAGTTCTGACGCGCGGCTGAAGCAGCTTTGCTGCTCTTGCTGTGCGGTGCAAAAGTGTGTCTGACGCGCGTTGGGCGGAGCTTCACTATCCTTTCTCTGCCTTGCAGCTATATTTGCTGTGATCATTTGGAATAAAGTAGTTTTAATATGTGTTTAAGTGAGAAAATACACCTGAAAACGTAATCAGTGCCGTCAGTTCATTCAGATTATTATCCTGCCTTCAATATTTTTTCTGTCGGAGCCGCTCAGACCCCCACATACCAGCGGGGCGCCGACAGAAGGAACCCCTTCATCAGCAGCCTCTGGCCAGGTCACGTCCTCGCGGTTCACCGCGGCAGCTGGTAGGTGTTTTTGATCTAAATAATCCAAACTGCATATTCTGCCAGCAGATTTCTGCATTTTAAGTTAATTTAGGCGTCAATAAACTGTTTAAGAGGAGAGATCATAGCCTCTGATCATCAGCGCTGTGTCTCTCTCCCTGCTTCAGCTGCTCAGACGTGCTGCGCCTGGTGCTCAAAACGCGCCGCGGGACCTTTTGCTGCGCCTTGACGCGCGTCAACCATTGACTTTGCATGTAAACTCGCTGCTTCTGTCGCGCCAGCTGCGGTGTGAACGCAGCATTAGTCATTCGTTGCGTTCGCCTGTCTGCTAAGCTCAAAACAACCGCGCCTGGCTTGACGGAGAAACCAGGAGAACAGCTGTGCATATTTACGACAGTGCACTTTTACTTTCGCCCTCTGGGGGGAGTCTCGCTGGAAAATCAACACCGGTTGCATAGTGTACCTTTAACACACCTCTCTGCAGCTTCTCTACTATTACCCACTCTTTACTCCATCCAGACAGTTCATTGCCCACAACCGAAATCAAATAAATTTGAAAATAGTCCCAAATGAGTAAATCATGCCAATGTAATAATCATAACTCCAATTGGGGAAAAAGTTATAAATGGGATTTATTTAACATAAGATCTCTTTCTATAAAAAGTCTGTTAGTTAATTACTTGATTTGTGATAATCACATTGATTAATGTTGCCTTACAGAAACTTGGCTGTAGCAAGAGGATTATGTAATCATAAATGTGGCAACTCCCTTTAGCTATGTAAATTTTCAAATACCCAGAAATTCTGGGCAAGAAGGAGGAGTAGCAACAATTTTTCAGTCTGACTTACTGATTACTCCAAAGGCAGTTAATAATTACAACTCTTTTAAACGTCTAACCCTTAGTTCCCCTTATTCAAATTGCAAAGCTACAAAACCGCTACTTATTGTAACTTTGTGTCATCCAGCAGGTGCTTACTCTTAATTTTTTGTTAATTACTGACAGGGTCATCATAGTAGGGGATTTTAACATCTATGCTGACAACATAATTCAAAATGAGTTTAATCCCACACATTATCATCTTCATATTTTTGACCTTATGCTAATATATGGCATTGAATGTGAAAAAATAACAGTATTTCCTCACAAGCCGGTCCTCTCTGACCACTTATTAATAACCTTCAGGATTGCTTTAACAGAGGAAATTTAACTTATGGGTACATATTTGAATTAGTAAATGTAAGTTAATAAACACGAATAGATTTGTTAGATATCTTACCCCACATCTGCTGGTCCACAGAGGTTTCCACACATATATCATTCTGAGCAAAAATCAAGAATGGGCAAAATATGTACTTTATATAATTACCTAACCAGGATGAACATTATGGACAAGTACAGATAATGAGACTTAACAACTTTGATTTTTTTTAAATTCCAATCTGTTTATCTTATCCTCATCATTATTAGCCATAATAAAAAGTAATGACTAGAATATGTTAATCTTGGAGCCAAAAGAATGTTCTAGAGAAAACTTTGTTTTTTTTAAACCTCTTTTTGCTTTTTATGAATATCAATTCAATACGATCCTAAATTGTGATACAATTAAAATTACATGTGACCTTGTCAGTAACTCTCTAATCTCTTTAATCAGGTCCGGGTTATAGCCATTGTGCGGCGAGAGGAGAAAGTCTCTTATCGTTGCATCTTTCAGTGTCAGAACCAGCAGTGGTACATCTCGAAAGGTGTTCTCAGCATCCATACAGACCACTTTGGGTTCTCATACGGAACAGCGGACATCATGTGTCCCATCCCCCCAGAGTGTGAAAATCCATCTCACATTTCTGTGGCTTCTGATAAGACGATATCTGAAGGTATAACAGGGTGTTTTGAGTATTTTAACTAAATGGTATCATCCAGGTTTCCCAGGCTGGCAATACAGTAAAGTATAGAAAACATTAGGGAAATTGTTACAGGCACAGGAAAAACATATAAAAACAGCATTTTTTAGGTGTTCATATTTATTATCCATTAAAAATCATTATTCGGTAGGCAGAGAGCATATTACTCCAATAGATTTGTAGAGCATCAATACAATAATATAATAGTTTGAGAATACTTTGTAAGAACGAACAAAGTATTCTAAAAATCAATATTTCTTTTCTTTCAGATGAATATAAGGAAGAATTTTTGGAAGTGAATAACCAAAAAGCACAGACTGAATCTTTTCCTTATAACTTCACAGTCTGTATTTCTACTATGTTTGATTTCACCAATGTGCTCCAGGTAAGTCAAGGTTGTATTTCTGCTACAATTCCAAATCACAAAACCCATGCAGACTGCCCAATTCAAGTCTCCTAACACTCTTAGCATATCTTTTGGGAAAAATTATCAAAGGGTCCTAGTTATATTCATAGTACTACAGATTTCTTAGGCAGTAGCTCACTTTGCTTGCATAGAAGAATCGTTTTAAATGATGGTGCCCTGTGGGTAATTATATTAGATTTTCTGTTTTACACATTGGTTTTGCTGCATTTGTCGGTAAACTTTATTGCTCTTGTGTATTTATCTCAACAAGACCATGTAATGAGAGGTGCAATATTGCACGTGTGTTACGACTACACAAGGTAGCAAGGGAGCAAAGCAAATAGGCATTTCTCCAGCAGGCGTGAGGAAAAAAAAAAAAAAAAAACTGATGCCAAGATGGTAAGATAAGATGTGGGCACTTGGAATACAATAGGAACACTGGTGTTCACTGAAGCGGGAGATAAAGACCCAGAGGGAGGCAGTTTTGGGAGTACGTATTGCCAGCAGAAGGCGACGGTGTACTACAGTGTTTAAGTCATTTAATGATCATGCCAGGTGCAAACATTCTTTTAAGGCTCAACAAGAGTTAAGTAAACACAATCAGGATTGACACTTGAAGAATATTTAATTATTTCAACATGAAAATTAGGTTTTCTGTGGGGTTGTTTATTTGTTTGTTTGTTTTTTGCATCCATTGTATGTGACTAGGTCACTTTAAAATATAGTCTATTACATAGCAATTATTAAAATGCAAGGCTCCAAAACACATTTTGTCTTTAATGTGTCAAATAAGATCTTTCTCTTTTGGGACACTGCTACCAAGTACATTTTTAACATTGTCATCTTAACATCAGTGTCTTAACCTTGACTGTCTTTATCTTCCGCAAACTCGCCCATGAAGGGATTGAAAAAATCCACTCCCTATGTTTTTAATGGTGGCACAGAAGGCATGACCCTCTCGGCCTGAGGAAGCCTTTTCTGAATTCTCAAAAATTGCTAGTTCATATAGGCTATTTGTACTTGTACCCGTCTTTTTACACATATCCATTTAACCTAATAACTTGTGTACATGATACTTGTTGATGGCATTAAAATTATTTCTATTAGCATTAAATTAGAGTTCCTCATTCCTGTATAAACCCTGTGAACGTTTAATTTAATATGACATATTTAAAAAAATTCCCCATCATCATCCAGCAGATTTTCAGTTTCTGCCCAAATATTTTCTTTATGTTGTGGATTTTTGTAACAGGAATAGCTAGGATCATATATAGATTGTATGAACTATGTTTGTTCTCTGCTTCCAAACTCATCATCTCTTCATCCATTCCTGCAATAAGAATAGTCTTTTAAAGTTGTGAGATGCGCTCTAGAATCTCACAACTTCTTCCTGGTCTGTTTAAGCACCAATAGTCTGCATCCAATTATTTAATTAATTGCTCTTAGTTTTTTGGATTATATTTTCTAGTTACCGACCTGTTTTTACTATAATTTAATTTGACAAACCGGGTCTTCTCTACATTCTTTTTCCTGTTTGGTGCGATTGCAATTGCGGGTCTTGATCTGGACTGACCGGAGCGGAGCCAAAAAGAGCTCAGCTCCGTATTTTGACGGTAAGGGACAGAGAAGACGTACGTGGGCGGTGACGAGCGGAGGATGGGGAACAGCGCTCATTGATTAAATGAAAGACAAGTACTCCGTACGTGAGCTGAGCGGAGTGCTGGCGGAGTATGTGGAATCTGGGGGTAAAGGAGGACAATACACGTCCGGCTTCCATGTCAGGCTCGAAGGCAAAATACCTCCAAACAGCACTCTTGCCTCTATCATTTTCGACCAAAACTGGTTGTTTTGGCCCTCCTTCAGCAGCACTGGCCATGCTCTTTTCTGTTATTGTGCTGTCTCTCTGCCCTCACATACACACGGCAGCATGTAGCTTCTTGCTTCAGTCTGTAACTCCGCCCACATCAAAGTCGGCCATTTTGATTTGGTCACAAATAGGAGAATCCCATATCTGCTGACCGACGGCATGTGGGAGGAGTTGGATATCCAACCGAGGCGTCCTGCAGACTGAAGCGAGAGGCTACATGCTGGCGTGTGTATGTGAAGGCAGGGAGAGAAGGCCGGTCTGCGTTGCGCGTGCGGCGGCGGTGGCAGCAGCGGTGGTAGTATCGATACTTTTAAAATTGAGTATCATATCTGGATACAACGTTTTAGTATCGATACTTTTTGGAGTATCAATACTTTTGACAACCCTATTCTAGATGGGGAAAAAATCTCTCTTGGAGGTATGAGTTAAATCTCATGTTTAACCAGATATGTACTAATCATCTACCATGTCATTGGTACTCTGTGCCAGAATTTGGAATCCAGTATGTACAACCCATTCCTGGCACTGAAATATGAGGGCATTCCTGCAATGCCTGTTGCAACTCTCTTTGGGCAAATTGATGAAAAGAAAGTCTGGCCTCCTTACAATAGATTAAATCTAGAGCCCAAGGTGTGTGATGGTTCATCCAACCATGAATAGTTTGTATTTTTCCACCTAATAAACCAACTGTAGATCATTCTCTAAACTATGCTGAAATTCTACATCAACCATTACAGCCAGGTTAGGATAATCACTTTGGTTTTCTTTGACCTCACACACACCGCCAACTTAGCTTACACTGCCCTCAACACATCCATATCTCCCTGCAATGGGTGATGGTTAGTTGCTGTGGAGGGGGCTCCAGGGAGAGCTTTACTAAAAGGTAAAGTGTCCCCACAAAGGTTTGGCTGCAGGCTGTTCCCCTGGTTCCACTGCTTCTGGTGAGGTTTGCCACCATCTGTGATTTTTAAACAAGGTCATAAAGTTACCCTTTAGCGGATCCCTTATCCGAGGCTCAATCATTGTGTTCATCAGCAAACCAGTACACTAAGTTTTGGGCGGTCTTATTGTTACAATCATGTATAGTCAAATATTGACTAATGATCTCATGGGCTTCACAGTGAAGGTTGGTCACGTTTACCTTGCTGTAGGAAGGTCCCGGGTTAAAATCTTACTGCACAGATTTTGCCTGTTGTTTGCATTCTTCAGCTATTTAGTCTAAGAACATGACTCTTAGTTAATTGGTCTTTCTAAATTGCCATTTTGCATTTTTTTTCTGCCCTGTGTGTTTCTGTGATGGATTATCAAGCTTTTGAGGGTGTACCCTGCCTCTGGCTTGTAGTCAGACAGGCCCCAAATGCCAACCCCTAATCTGTTGTTTTGGTCAATAATACACAATTTCATGTAATGTTAAGGTTTTATTTGCTCGTTTGGTTTTATTTGGTATTGAAACAGTTGTATTGTCTTGCAGCTGGTGCAGAGTTTCGAAATGCTTCAGTTACTGGGTGTGAACAAAGTTTTTGTCTACAAAACCAACTGCAGTCGTGAAACACAAAGCGTTCTGGACTATTACTCAAACAAAAAAGGTACAGTTGTATCGAGTTTTAGGGCTGATTTGTGTCATGAATGTCTGCCTGAATCCAATATGTTCATTATTCTTGAAACACCTTCCTTTGATCAATATTTGTGTGTGGCTGCTTAACATTCACAGCATGCACAGCATGGCTCTTGTGTTCTGAACTTTGCTAGGTAAAATTGTTACAAAAAATGCAGATAATTCAAAAGTCCAAAGTGAAACCATCGGCTGTGGCTGATTACTGTGCTCCAGGTAATTGTTGGATTTTGTTTCTGGATTTGTTAATTGTTGGTGGCATTGCTGCCTCAGAGTGTTAGGTTAGTCTGCCAAGACTGTTACTGTTTTTAGAAAAATATTCCTAAATTGGGATTGAGCCTATATCGCTGATTCCTAACACGACAACTCACTGCTGCATGAGCTTTTCTCTTTGAAAAAAAGAACATATTACATCACATCCATAGTTTTTTTATTCTAGTTTTTTTCTCCTGGCTGTTAGTTCTGCCCTGGTTCCACCTGTGAAATCAGGCACTACCATCTCGTTTTTTAGCTGGCTAGGCTAGCACTCATAGCAACAACTCTTTCCAACCTGCAACCCAGAGTTTACAGGTGTTTTGCAAGTTTACCAGAAGATCGAATGTAATGTAAATCCCTTTATTGTCCCACAATGAGGAAATTCACTATCTGCATTTTAACCTATCCCCCTGGGGAGCAGTGGGCTGCCATTGTGTGGCGCACAGGAGTAATGTAAGGGTCTTGCTCAGGGACCCAGAGTGTGGACTGGGGATCGAAATGGGTACTAGCAACCTTCTCAAAGAACAAGCACACTGCTCTAACCACTAGGCCAACAATCCCCCTTATGATTATGAATATATTGAATACCTAGAACTGGAATTCCTCCTCCATTTAAGATGTGATTAATCTATCTCTGCTACAGGGATATGTACCAAAGGATTTTAAGGTAGCTGTAATTACATCTTTACTTAAGAAACCGTCTCTTGACCCAGATGACTTGGTTAATTATAGACCTATATCAAATCTTCCTTTCTTATCTAAAATTCTTGGGAAAGTAGTTATCAAAAAACCGTGTGACCACTTACACCATAATGAACTTTTTGAATAGTTTCAGTCTGGCTTTAAAGCTCATCATCGCGCTTTCTGGTGAAAGTTGCTAATGATATTCTCATGGCCTTAAATAAGGGTGTTGTATCTGTACTTGTCCTGTTAGATCTCAGTGCTGCATTTGACACAGCTGATCATAATATTCTTTCAGAAACATTTACATATTTTGTAGAAATTAAAGGAACAGCACTAGACTGGTTTAAATTGTATCTATCTGACCGATTTCACTTTGTTCAAATTAATGATAAATCTTCCTCATCCTCCAAGGCTACCTGTGGAGTACCATAGGGATCAGTGCTAGGACCAATTCTCTTTACTATCTATATGCTCCCAATCGGTAGAATTATTGGACAGCATGGGATTCATTTCCACTGTTATGCTGATAATACTCAGCTATATCGGTCTATGAATTCAGATGAAGCTAATCCATAACATAGATTACAGGCATGTCTTGAGGATGTAAAAAACCTGGATTACTCTTAACTTTCTGCTTCTTAATGCAGACAAAACCGAAGTTATAGTCTTTGGACCAGAGTCTTTGAAAAATAAGCTGATTAGTCAGTCCCTTGGGCTACTCAGTGGCATAGGGGGTAGCACTCCTGCCTTGTCTTCTTTAAATTTTCCTTAGGTGTGAGTGCATAAATGTTTGTTTGTCCTGTTTGTTTCTGTGTTGCCCTGCGATGGACTGGAGACCTGTCCAGGGTGTACCCTGCCTCTTGCCCATTGACAGCAGGAGATAAGGACCAACACCCTTTGTGACCCCGCTTGGGATAAGGTGATGGAAAACGGATGGATGGAAAGTCAGTCGCTTTATTTGGATGGGATTAAATTTATCTCAGATAATAAAGAAAAAAATCTTGGTCTTATTTTTAATCAGGACCTGTCATTTAAATCCCATGTCAAAGAGGTCTCTAGAATGTCCTTCTTTCATCTGCAGAATATTGCAAAAAATAGAAATATCTTTTTCCAGGGGTGATACTAAGAAACTAGTCCATGCATTTGTTACTTCAAGGCTGGACTTTTGTACTTCTTTAGTATCAGGAAGTCTACGAACTGTAGTTAAATGCCTTCAGCTGATTCAAAATCAGAGTTCTGATGAAAATTAAAAAGAGAGATCATATTTCTCTCTATTAATGGTTCCTAGAATTTCTAAAAGTAAATGGGAGGCAGATCTTTTAGTTATCAGGCTCCTCTCCTGTGGAACCAACTACCAGTTTTAGTCTGTGAGGCAGACACCCTGTCTACTTTTAAGGTTAGCCTTATAACTTTCCTTTTGATAAAGCTTATAGTTAGAGTGGCTCAGGTTATCCTAAACTATCTCTATAGTTATGCTGCTATAGACTTAGACTGTTGGAGGACATAGAGACCCCTTCTTCATTATTCTGCTTCATTTTACTAGCTGGTACCTTACTGGCTTGTTCTGTTTGTATGACCGCCATTGGGGATAACGACTGATGAAGACGAACCAGCTAGAAGAGCGAGGTGCGCAAGAAAGCTGGGACCCCTTTTCCACCTGGATCCCCGCTCTTTTTCGCCCTCATGCCCCTCTATTTTCGCACAAATTTACTACTTGCATTTTTCCACTTCCTCACCACCTCGGCCGTATCTAGACCCACAGTTAGTTTGTGATTGTCCCTCTTGTGTTGTGGTGTGGAATAACAAAGACCACACTTCAAAATTGGGCATAAATCAAAAATATCTGCGTCATACCTGCGGCAAGCTCACTGCGACACACTGCTGCAGGTAGAAAACCAGCCCTTTACTCTGTGCCTGCCAACTCCTGCCCCAGCCGGTATCTGCTGCTGTTTAGTCTTCTCAGCTTCTCACAGTCCTCACTTCAGCCACTGGATTCTCTGCCTCCACACAGACCCTCACTCTCCACTTCTCCTTTCCCTTTCTCCAGGAGAATCAGTTATCACGCATGATTACTGATTCTCCTGTTTCATACCTGATAATGTAATGAGATCCATAAGGATCCATATATTCAGCACAGCAGTCTGGAGCTCATTTCCTACCCTGGATAGGTTACCTAGTAGACACAAAAAAATATCACTGCAATCTTCACTATTATTGTGACTATTATGCTAAAAGCGCTGTTGTATTATGGGTAATTCTGGTGTAAGGCTAAACTTCTAACTCCCACACTGTGATGGGGTGGTCCCTTTTAGAGAGACTTTCAGCCCTTCTAGACTGTAATTCAGCAATGCCTGCAGAAAGAGAGAAAATAAGTACACATGAGCAAAGCTTCCACTACTGCCTCTTGAATTAAAAACAAAGACGTAAATATAATATTTATCATTTCATATTCTTTGAAGCTGTTGCATCAATAGGTCCCCCCCACATTCAATTCATTTGGACGCTGCTTGCCTCCAGTGTTTTTGTGTTGATTTTGATAACATCAGATTGATTAATGTAGTTTTGGTTGAGGTAAAATATTAGTAAATGCTTCAAATTTCTGTATAGAAATAGAGTTCTTCTTTAGATTTACATGTCTTTAGACTGCTTTTAACCATTTTTTGTTTGACTGACATTTATATATCCCTCTCATTTGGATTAAAGTATTACCAAACATGCATTTATTTATTTATTTTTTTTAAGTTTAGTTTTACCTTTGTAAATTTATATTCCACTTCCCTGGACAACATCTTGAATTACTTTGTACCCTGCATATCTTCATATAATGCCCCTTTTATATATTTTATATTCAGCCTTATTAGAGCTGAATACCTGATAATGACCGATGTTAAAATCTATATAGTTTGAGGAGTCTGTGGAGGGGTCACTTACATTTTAAAAGTTGTAAATCTAGTTACAGAAAAGTGCACCATAGTCAGCTTTAAACATATTAAACATTATCTCTAACAACAATACTGTGGCTAGCGAAAATATTTAGAAAATATAAAAAAGAGTAAAAAAGGTGCTTGCATCAAAGTTGGTTTAGAATGTGTATGATATGTGCTATCCTTCCTAGCAAACACTCAGTGTCTCATAGATTTTTAGGGTTAACCTGAATCTTCACATTATTTTCTTCTCAGGCTTTGTGGAGGTGATTCCTTGGTCCATGTCCAGGTTTCTAAATGTTTCTCGAGGATGGCAGCCTAAGCATGGTCCTGGTGACCTCCACTACTTTGGTCAGATCCCTGCTCTCAACGACTGCCTCTACAGGAACATGTACAAATCCAAATATGTGGCCTTGCATGACATTGACGAGCTCATACTGCCACAGACGGTCAAAAGGTAGAAAAACCTTTTCTGGACGTGGCCGTCTTTTACAGCTGCCTTTTGTATTTCTACTTCTGTCTATGTGAACCCCAGTTGGCCTCAGCAGATGGCTGCTCACACTGAGCCTGGTTCTGCTGGAGGTTTCTTACTGGTAAAAGGGAGTTTTTCCTCTCCACTTTTGCTACAAGCATGCTTAGTGTGAGGGATTGCATTTGAGTCAATGAGTCGATGAAATCAGCTGGTTTTCTTTAGATAGAAAACTTTGATTAAATTTGACTGTATGATCTGGTGAACTGTAAAGTGCCTTGACATGACATGTGTTATTAATTGGCGCTATAGAAATAAACAGAATTTAATTCAATTTTGCATATAATCCGATTTTAACTGGAAAGTATAGAAATTCCTTAAATGACTTTTAAATTGTGTAGAATTATGTACATTGATGTTTAATGTCACTTTATTTTCTTCCAGCTTTTTCCTATTTAAACATGTTTACTTTTCATTTTATTTTTTTTACTAGACCTCCATTTTTTATTGATATTAAAAAAAAAAAATTTTAAGATAAGCCCCAAACATCAGAGTGAGAAGTAAAATAAGCTCTTTCAAAAAGTTCCTGGATTCAATCCTAATCAGGGATTTTCTTCTTGATACTGCGGCTTCTTCTCACAGACCAAAACCCTGTGCTTCTCTAAATGTCTCGTGCGTGCATGTTGTTTCTTGTTGTTTTGACTCTGCTTTTTTCGGGGATTGACTCTATTTTATTTGTAAACTATAATTTCTTTTAGGTTTTTTGTTTTTATTAAATGTGATTATCCTCTTCGCCAGGTCACAGTTAAAAAAGGGGAAAAAGATGTAAACACTAGGAGGAGGATAAAAGTTATATTTATATTTTAGTAAATGCTTCTAAAAAAGGAAAGTCTGAATTTAAGGGTAAAAATGGCAGTTGATCAACTCCAAAGTAGTTTGGGAATTGCCCTACAGGGAAGACCAATTAACAAAATTTATTAGGTTTCTATTAAGTTCTCGTTTAATTAAGCTGTATCAGATTTTGAGTTTTTTTATTTAAGCCGTTCAAAGAAGTTTAAAAACTTGGACATTTTGTTCAGTCTTTATTAGCACTTTAGCATAAGCACCCAAACATACCAAATGTCAAAAAACTGTGATCGTTTGTCAAAACTCTGAACCCTTTGTCCCCATTTAAATTTAAAATGTGTCAAAGCTGTATAGTGTAAAAGGAAATAAGAGTGATCTTAAATTTAAACAGGATCTAAAGCTGCCCAAATTTAATACATTACTGCCTGTCACAATATGTCACAATATGCACCTTCTATTAACATTGCAGCAAAATCCACCCATAACCTTTTAAATTAATTTAAAAACAGACTGACAAACCAACGGTGATGAAAACATAGGCTCTTTGGTGGAGATAAATGCAGACATTTAAGAAAAGTGCCAAAGTGTTGTTTTTGAAAGAGTAAAGGAATTTCTTGGGGGGTGGGTTGTTTTTTTGTGTTTTTTTTTTTTTTTTTGCATTTATGTCGCTGAAGTCTTTCTTTCCCCCTCTCTCTCCAGCTGGATGGAGCTGCTGCCTCTATTGGAGAAAAAGTACAGCCCAAAGAAGTGTTACAAGTTTCAAAATAACGTGTTCCCCAACAATGTCTCGCTACCGTCACCAAAGGATCAAAATCTACCTAAAATGGACCACTGGAAAGGAGTTCCTGGAGTGAACATCCTGGCTCATCTGCACCAGGAGCCCATCACTAAAGAGATGCAACATTTCAAATTTAAGGTCATCATAAACCCTCGAGATGTCTATTGGGTTTCAGTTCATGATGTGCTGAAATCAGACCATGGCTGCAGCTGGGTGGACAGGAACATGGCACGGATGTACCACACAAGGTGAAGCCATGCTTTCAATTTAGACAGAATGTTTGATTCTGAATTTCAGAAACAGATAAAAGAGAAGATTTTAAAAACTGACTTACTAGTAAGGTTTTGGACATTCCACCAACAAGCAGTGTTGGACAAAGTACTCAACAGTTGTACTTGAGTCAAAGTATTGATAGTCATATTCAAATCTTACTCAACTATAAGTAAAAGTTACTTGGTCAAACAATTACTCAAGTTAAAGTATTGAAATACTCACTTTTGAAAATACTTAAGTATTTAAGGGAACATGCATTTCAAAGCACTTAAATAAGTCAAAATATGTCAAGGTTAAGTGGAGGTTTTTGAGGACCCAAATACAGAAATAAGGAAGCAGTAGTAAGTTTTGAAGATTTTAATAAAAGCCCAGATGGAAACAGGGGGAAAAAAATCTCAAAATACAAAGTGGTAAAAACACATGTAGAGCGAGGAGACAACGAAGCAAAAAAAGAACAATGGCAAGGACTCTAGAAGTGGTTTATATATGGAGAACAGAACAAATGATGGATTAATGAGCTGAATAAGGAGCAGGTGTGAGTAAAACTAACTAGAAGGAAGCCAAGGGGAAAGGAAACAAACACAAGGATGGCAACAAGAGAGTAACTCAGAAACTAACCACTGCTAGAAAACAACTACAAATACAAAAAACTAAGAATAAACTTAAACAGAAGGCAGAACCCTGGCAAACAATAAATTAAATTGTCTAATATTAGTGCATTTCAATCTAATTTTTTAGAGTAATTTTAAAGAAGCTTCTAACTTTCAGAAACCACCCGATGTACTGATGTGTAGAACCACCTGCTACAGATTCTACACCACCTGTAAAGAAGATCAGCATAAAAATACTAGAAAAATATTTTCTTTTTATTTAAAAACAAAACCCAAAAAGAAAACAGGAGTGTCTTGATTCTTCTCTAATTTTCACTATGGAGCTGAGGGTTATGGTTGAATATATTATCAAAAAGAAACCACATTCTGATTTAAGAACTCATCCTAATGAACAACTTGGCCATAAGGCAACAACTCCCGGCTTGATAAAATGTATAAACTATAAATAATATCTGCAAATAATAATTCTGTTCAATTCAGTTTATTTCTATAGCACCAATTCACAACACATGTCATCTCAATGTCATCTCAGTAGATTCCTCCAGGGAGAGAAGGTCCGAAAAATGTCCAGTTTTCAGGATGACTTCCTGCCGAGAGGCAAAGACAAAAACGAAGTTAAAACTCAGGTAGACAAGAACTCAGTCTTACTCAGCTAAACTCGGCTTGGCTAGAGTACCAAAAACTGGCAAACACTCTGGCGTTGAGGTAGTGGTATCAGCAGCTCAAGAGCACTCCATTAACGAGGTAACCATCAGCAGGTGTGTGAGGAGGCGGACCAGAACCAGGCGCCTCCTGCTGGTGGAAGGGAGAACAACACAAAAAACAAACAGACTGGAGTCCTGGCAATAGTATAGTCAGTTATAATCATTTAAGAAATTATCATTCATTGGTTTTACCCTTAATTTGAATTACCTATTAACTATAGCTGCCAGTTTTAGTTATTTAATATATTCATAATTTGCTAGTAAAATTGCACAACATGTCCAACTTGGTACAAAGTGTTGAAATCCGTAATATTAAACCCCCAACACTTGTCGTGATATAATTCATTTAAACATTACTGTAAGGTAGAGTAAGATGTTAAAGCACTGGTAGGTTGCAGTTACAAATCATATGATGTTTGAGAACTAAACTTCTTTTTTCAGGCATTAACGTACATCTTCAAGTTAGATGAGTCATTTTTGTTTTTAGGAACACCAATGAAAGTTTCTTCAGACTTCTCAAAACTAGTATATATCTTTCCTGTTATCAATCAGAGTTATTATCAGGGCAAACATCATCCTAAGATGAGGCCTCGTCATTCCTTACAGTTCCTTATGCTATGAAAAGTCTGAGGACCCGAAAATGGTTTACACTGCATTCAGTCATTCACACACTGATGTTAGCAAGCTATGTTAGTGGGGGCAGCCACCTGGGGCAGACTGACTGAAGCTCGATCAGCGCGGCCAGACTTCCTGACCACCAACAGCAAACCAAAGAGTTTCCTTCAGATATCTTGGTTTATATCCAGACACATCCTCAGTTTCTCAAAGTTGGGCTGAACTTGTGATAAACATTCAATCAGTCCATTGTTTATCTAAACTGTAGATATTGCAATATTCCATCTCTTTTAATTAAAGTTTAAAAAAATCTCATTTAAAGACTATTCAGAAGTGGGTGAGGTGTTAAAATCAGTTATTGGTTTACAAACTGTATTGTGGTAAACAAACAGTCCTTGACAGTTTCATGTAAAGTAACGTTTTATTACAAGATTATATAAATTAACCATTGTGTTCTTCTTTCTTTTTGTGCAGAGATCAAATGCAACCCCTGCTGACTTCAGATAAGATGATCCATGATGGCAGGTTGCTCAGCTACAGCGCCCCCCTCAGTCTGGCTGTTGATACTGCCCTTCAAGAAAGTGGCCTTCTCTCTAAGGGCAGCAAAAACTTGAACTAGGACCTTCTTGGTAACACATCAGAGTGAAAACTTTTTTGCAAGTTTTCCGGTATTTTTATGGGAAGATTTATTTCTGTTATAAGTGAAACCACTGTGAGACACTGTGAGAGCCATTTGGAGAGACGCAAGCGTTGGTGTAATGTGTGGATGTTTTCTGGTCCGTGTTAAGAAGAGCTGCTGCGCTTTGGGCTAACCACAGACGAGAGAGAGCACATTGGCTACTGCCTGAATAAAGTGCATTGCTCCAGAAGGCTAGAAGTAAAAGAATGTAAAACCTGCTTTGAAGAGGTTAAAAGATAAAAACGTTTTTAACTTGGAGACCCCTCAGCCTCCAAGTTAGAGATGATAAAAACACAATTTTAAAACGCTGTTTATTTGTTTATCTAGTTTAAATTCACTGTCTATGGTGAAAACAAGCAGTGGCGGCCGGCCCATAGGGGGCGCTGGGGCACCGCCCTCCCTGATAAGAGAGAAACGTAAAATATATTTTTAGAAATTAACTCATAAATGTCAGTTTTACTCTCTAGAGTGTGTACCTATAAGCAAAATAAATTATATAAATTACATTTCCCTATCTTCTGTCATTCATTTGTGGATTTCCACAGACAGACTCCTACCGTCTCTGTCTTGGGGCTGTGATCAGACAGCCCCACATTTGCAGAGAATCTGCCAATCACGTACTATTGCTAGGTGAATTTAATGGCCAATCAGCGTCTCAGAACTTTATGGTCTTGGGGCTCTGAAAATACTGCACATTAACAGGCTTCTCCATAAAGCTTATGCATATCAGAAAATCAACAGATGCATAAATTAGATGTATTATTGTTTAATGTTTTTGTTATTGTTTCCAAATATAGTCATGGGAATTAAATAATATATTAATGTTTATAATTGCATGTTTGATGCTAATACTAATTTATATTAAATAAATTACTCTGGGAAGATATATGATTGACTGATTGAATGTATGAATGAATCACGCTCATGGATATAAATAAAAACAAGTGAATTGATTTAAAAAAATAAGATTTTGCTTTATTGCTTTGTTTTTGTTGTACTTCCATCAATCTTCAATTTAGCAAAAATAACCTTTTACCTTCTTTTTCTTTTCACACTTTCTTTACAGTTCATGCTTCTGATTGCAAAAATATTGAATTTATATCTTAATATATCTGTATTTATGTAGCATCTATCTCTACACCCAATATACAGTATATATGTTATATTTATTTATTAAAAATTTTTTAAGTGTCCTTTCTGGCGATTTGGCAATAGGAATAATTGTCTTGATGCCAAAAAGAGCCCAACAGATTTTACTTTTACAAGTGGAGCAGTCCGGCTATCACCATAGTGTTCTGCTTGATTTATGCATTTAAATAGCCTTATTATAATGTACATAGAAAGTATTTCAGATTATATGGACACTGCAATGGGAAAGTAGGAGAGGAAAGGTATAACAAGAAAAAGGAGAAAAGGTGAAAGAAAGAGGAGATAAAAGGGAGATAATGATAAAACGTCTTCAGTCTGCTTCATCATCTGCAAAGAGATGTAAAAAGAACAGCACAACCAACGGATATAGTATAAGAGATACAATAAAGTAACACCTAGATACCATCACTGAAATATAAGTAGTATTACTCAATCTGACATGTATACTGTGGTAACTGAAGATAAAAATATGGGCTTTCTGTATGGAAGTGAATCTCTGAGTTCCTGGAACCAAGCACCTGTAGTTGTTTGTGAGGGTGCACTTGTGCATGTAAAGTTTATCCAAATTAAAAATGCTCAATAGTGGTTGTGAAGAGCCAAAGACCCGTCCCCCCAGAGCACTGAGGCAAGCGTCGGGGGACCCAAACCCTAGATGCCCAAAGTAAAGGCCAACAAGAGGGACCAACACAAGAAATCTGCCCCCCACCAAGGGAAGAGGGGAGGCGTCCCGGAGGAAATCCCCCAGCCACTGCAAGGCCGAACCCCCCAGGAGCCATGGGGACGGACCCCTGGGCTCTGCCGGCAGCCAGCCACCCCGAAGTGGAACTGACCATAGGCCCAGGGGACCTGAGGCCCCAGGGGACCCAAGGCCTCACGGGCGCCTTGCCCCCCAGCCAGAGCCCCAACCGAGCCCTGGGGGGGGGCCAGGTCCCACGAAGCAGCCACCAGGAATAAGCCAGTACCCACCCGGGCATCCACCCCCGAACATTGAGCACCACCAAAGCGCCAGCCAGCAGAGGGGGGCAGGACGGGGGAACGGGCTCCGCACTTAGTGGAGACTTGAGATGTTCTTGGGAGAGGGAGCAGTTCAGACCCCAACCTGACAAGTAAACAGAAGGAAAAAAAAACACAAAAAACAAATGCACGGTCTCAATCACACCCTCTCACCATAGTGCCCCCACTCACAAAACACAAACTCTTCAAAAAAGAAAAAGAAAAAAAACAGCGTACACAAATTTGCACATAACACTCACATCCAATAATCCCGGGAGAGAGATGAGTGAGGAGTAATTTTAAGTGAAGACAAATCCCAGCCTGTTTTTTTTTTTTTTTTTTACTCTTTGTTGTTCCACTATTGTAATGGAGTTTTTCAATTGTAAAATATATCTGCAGTGGAGTGGTTCTCTAGAGAAACTTAAATATTTAATTTTATTTTATTTAGGATACATATAGTTTGATAATTTGATGCATGCTTTACAAGCTATATTGAATTTATTGAATTTACAAACAGTAATATTACCACTCTTATGGTAATATGTGCTTAAATTTGAGTTCAGAGTTAAACTTCTTTGGCAGTTGCGGTTGTGCAGCAATATGTTCCACTTACTTCTAACCAAGACGCTGTGTGCAGATGCAGACAAACCTTGTGGTTTCATCAAACCAGAGTTACGAACCAGCGCACCTGTTAACATTTACCTGTCTCCAAACATTATGCAGACATATCTGCATTGCATTTTAGATAAGAACTAAGAAACAGTAGGAAAAAAAATTGTTTTTTTAGCACCTTCAGAGGTAGCAGAGATCAATGAAGGTCGTCTGGAGGTGAACACAAACTGAAGGTAGGTTTCACCTGCAGGTCTGAAGGTGCTTTATCTATAAAAATTGAGGGAGCAAAAGTCTGACCTAGATCAGTAGTTCTTAGATCTCTCCGTTGCAGCGCACTTGATTCAAGTAATTAAAAACAAGCTCAGCAGACTTCAAAATGTATTTTCTTGAGTGACAGCAATACAGTGACAGCTTTCGTATTTAAGTGCTATAAAAGCCTGTCAATCATTGAGGAGCAATGTAAAGCATGCAGAGCAGACTATAACAACGGGAAATTCTGGCTGCGCATTTCTTTTTCACTTACTGTGACACACTGAGCATTTACTACCTTACTGGATCATCTTTCAGACCAGATAAGTACATTAAAACAACTATGGCAGATTAATGTACACACTTTACTTCAGAGAAGGTGATCACATAAACAAAAGTTTAAAAAATTATTTTAATAAGAATAGGTACCAACTGGAGCTTTGATTTAATGTATTTTATGTTCATAGGTTTAAAAAGTTTTTGTTTTGTGGTTTACTTCTTTTTTTCTTTTTACTTTGGTAAATATATTCACAGATTTATATTTTCCTAATCATTAGTGAAACATTCAATCAGTGAAAACCGACATCATGTCTGCAACCGTGGCGAGAATGAGCAGCCAAATCGGATCAAAAGCACGATCATACACCATTTTTCAAATGCCAAGGGACCGTCTGCAAATTGGAAAAAACACAAAAATATGATAAAGAAATCTTTAATAGTGTCATAAAGATGAGGTTTACTGTCATTAAAATCGTATGTGTGTATAGTGCCATATCTTGGAAAATAAAACTTTTTATTAGTGAAAACAAGGCCCAATACAACAGTTTGAATTATAAATCAATGTATTTGAATAAAGGGCTTTGATTTTACATGTGGTGGTTCTACTCTAACATCCAGGACCATCAAAATTACAGCAAACTTAAAGAACATATTCTTGATCAAACCTTAACACCTACTTTGAGAAAACATGCCACAGACATGACAGATATTCTCCAAACAACATTAAGGGCGTTACTTTTATTTTTGAGGTATTGTTATCCACAGTCGTTGCTGAATGTATAAGGCGACATAAAAATAACATCTACTCTACTTCACGTTTACTCCACAGCATTTGGCTTATTTTTACTAAATTCCCGGGACTTTTTTAGTCATGAAAACATTACAATGTCTTTCTTGTTTAAGTAGCAGCCAGGGCCGTATCTATCATTGAGGACACAGAGGTCATGTCCTTTTTTTTTTTTATATACATATTTATTGGCCTATTTGCCTAAATTGTGATAGAATAAACATAAATTACACTGAAACTGAATGTAAGACAATGATCTAAGTTTTCCATAAAAATGCGAGTTGAAGAGCCAAGAGTATCATGACTATCCAATAAAAACAGTAGCTCGAGGGTTTGGCACTATCGCTATAGTAACTGCCAAACACAGGCTGCAGACGTCGTTAATGAGTCTGTCGGTAATAGTAGTAACTGAAAAAAGGATCAAATCAAGCCCCATATGTAGGTGGAGAGCAGTTGTAGTTGTAGATGACTGTGAGAAAAACATGCATTCCATGAGGAAATATTTCAGCTCAGCGTATTACTCAGACGGCAAAGGAACATCGACCCAAAGTTTAATGATCTCCTTCAGTAACCGGTCATCAGTCAATTTCCACCGGTTGAGTCAATATTTATTATGCGATTGTCAGGGTTCAGTTGTGGTTTGAGGAACCAAATGCAGAGGCAGAGGAGATTTCTTGCAGCTTTAATGAAATAAACACAGGTAACAGAGGCGGGAATCCAAAAATCCAACATGAAAAATATAAAGCAAACCAGAACTATGGAGACATCTGGGGAAACAACATACGAGGAGCCAGGGAGAGATGAGGTAGGTGGACAACAGCATGGGAGGACAGCAAAGACAAGGAACCAACAAAGAGGGAGAGCAGAGGGAGAGCATATATAGTAGACAGAGACAAAGGGAGGGCTAACGAGCAGACAAGGAGCAGGTGTGAGAGGAGACAACAAGGGAGCCAAGGGGAAAGGAACACACACACACACACACACAAGAGGGCAATAGACAACAGCAAAACATGAGAACTAACATAAATCTAGAAATTACAACAAAACTGGAATTAAACCAATAAATCTAGAAAACAAGGAGCAAAGTAAAGAACAACAGAACCAAGACCATGACAGTGCCCCCCACTTAAGGGCGGATGCCAGACGCCCTAAAATGTCCAGAAACACAAAATAACCAACCCAGGGAGGGCGGAGGGGGAACCAAGAAGGAGGGCATGAAACATAAAACCAAACGCAGAGTCCAAATAAAAACCAAAACAACCCACCCAAGGTGGGTTAGGGCAAACAGTCTCTGGAAGGCGGCCGTGTGGCCGGAGACCAGGAAGAGTCTCAGGAGGGCGGCCGTGGGGCCGGAGGCGAGGCAGAGTCTCTGGAGGCCGGCCGTGGGGCCGGAGGCGAAGGAGGGCCCCAGGAGGAGGCCGGTGATGGAGGAGGGCCTCTGACGGAGGAGGGCCCAGGTAGGAGGCCAGCGACGCAAGAGGGCTCCGGTAGGAGGCCGGCGACGGAGGAGGGCCCCGGTAGGAGGCCGGCGACGCAAGAGGGCTCTGGTAGGAGGCCGGCGACGGAGGAGGGCCTCTGACGGAGGAGGGCCCCGGTAGGAGGCCAGCGACGCAAGAGGGCTCTGGTAGGAGGCCGGCGACGGAGGAGGGCCTCTGACGGAGGAGGCCGGCGGCGATGCCGTCTCTGACGGAGGAGGCCGGCGGCGATGCCGTCTCTGACGGAGGAGGGCCTCTGGAGGAGGCCGGTGATGGAGGAGGGCCTCTGACGGAGGAGGCCGGCAGCGATGCCGTCTCTGACGGAGGAGGGCCTCTGGAGGAGGCCGGTGACGGAGGAGGGCCTCTGACGGAGGAGGCTGGCGAAGACGCCGTCTCAGACGGAGCAGCAGCCTTGGGGGCCGCCGTCTCAGGAACAGCCTCAGAGGAGGCTTGGAGTGCCCGCTGAGGGGCCTTGGAGGCTTGGAGAGACCGCTGAGGGGCCTTGGAGGCTTGGAGAGACCGCTGAGGGGCCTTGGAGGCTTGGAGCGCCCGCTGAGGGCTCGTGGAGGCTTGGAGAGACCGCTGAGGGGCCTTGGAGGCTTGGAGAAACCGCTGAGGGGCCTTGGAGGCTTGGAGTGCCCGCTGAGGGCTCGTGGAGGCTTGGAGAGACCGCTGAGGGGCCTTGGAGGCTTGGAGAGACCGCTGAGGGGCCTTGGAGGCTTGGAGCGCCCGCTGAGGGCTCGTGGAGGCTTGGAGAGACCGCTGAGGGGCCTTGGAGGCTTGGAGAGACCGCTGAGGGGCCTTGGAGGCTTGGAGCGCCCGCTGAGGGCTCGTGGAGGCTTGGAGAGACCGCTGAGGGGCCTTGGAGGCTTGGAGAGACCGCTGAGGGGCCTTGGAGGCTTGGAGCGCCCGCTGAGGGCTCGTGGAGGCTTGGAGAGACCGCTGAGGGGCCTTGGAGGCTTGGAGAAACCGCTGAGGGGCCTTGGAGGCTTGGAGTGCCCGCTGAGGGCTTGTGGAGGCTTGGAGAGACCGCTGAGGGGCCTTGGAGGCTTGGAGAGACCGCTGAGGGGCCTTGGAGGCTTGGAGCGCCCGCTGAGGGCTCGTGGAGGCTTGGAGCACCCGCTGAGGGCCCTTGGAGGCTTGGAGAGACCGCTGAGGGGCCTTGGAGGCTTGGAGCGCCCGCTGAGGGCTCGTGGAGGCTTGGAGCACCCGCTGAGGGGCCTTGGAGGCTTGGAGAGACCGCTGAGGGGCCTTGGAGGCTTGGAGCGCCCGCTGAGGGCTCGTGGAGGCTTGGAGAGACCGCTGAGGGGCCTTGGAGGCTTGGAGAGACCGCTGAGGGGCCTTGGAGGCTTGGAGCGCCCGCTGAGGGCTCGTGGAGGCTTGGAGAGACCGCTGAGGGGCCTTGGAGGCTTGGAGAAACCGCTGAGGGGCCTTGGAGGCTTGGAGTGCCCGCTGAGGGCTCGTGGAGGCTTGGAGAGACCGCTGAGGGGCCTTGGAGGCTTGGAGAGACCGCTGAGGGGCCTTGGAGGCTTGGAGCACCCGCTGAGGGGCCTTGGAGGCTTGGAGAGACCGCTGAGGGGCCTTGGAGGCTTGGAGCACCCGCTGAGGGCCCTTGGAGGCTTGGAGAGACCGCTGAGGGGCCTTTTATTAGTGTGCTCAGGGGTATCTGGACGGCGCAGGGCGGACTCAGCTTAATGGCCAGCTAATGGGCTCAACGTTCTCTGGCGCTAGGCTTAACCGCCCGCTAATGGGCTCAGGCACTGGGGAACCCGCCCGGCTAATGGGCTCAGGCACTGGGGAACCCGCCCGGCTAATGGGCTCAGCATTGATTTCTCAGTGTTAAAAGTAAACCTATCTTATGTTTTCTGCCGGATACTGAGGCACAATGAAGCAACATTGTACAGAACGGATCGTGCGGGACAGGAAGTTTCTTTCTTTCTTTCTTTCTTTAATTCTTTCTGTCTTTCTGTCTTTCTTCACTTCTTTCTTTCTTTCTTTACTCTTTCATTCTTTCTTTCTTTGCTTGCTTAAGTGCTCATTTTGTATCTTGTTTATTTAATATTTATGTTTCAACTTATTTATAGCTATCTTTTTATTTCATACTTTGACATTGGGCTTCTCTGGAACATGTTAAACTAATTTTATTTAATGTTAACATGTTGAAATGACAAATAAAACTCTGTGAAACATGATTTTGAAATGGTATATTGTTTTCATTTCTATCATTTAGGCGTTTAAATATGTTGATATTCTTCACTGGGGAAACAGAATAGGCAGGAAAGGGCAGAGTCAAAACAACCTCATATTTGGGCCAAGGAGCAGTTGGAGCAGAGAAAGAGATAGAGGGAGAGTAAGTACTATAAATGTAACACACTGTGCAAGAACGGTAGATGTTTTTTTAAGTCGAATTGGAGGATGTTCTTTTTCCAGGTGGATCATCTAAATAAGTGGTCCTCCCAATTGTCGTTCAGGTGATATGTTTACGTAAGGCTGTCCTGCATGCTCGTCCCCATTTTCTCTTACTTGTGGTGATTCTGACATAGTGGAAAAATTGCAAATCTTCTTTTGGAAAGTAAGCTTCTATGAGCGATGCAAATAGCAACTTTTATTTAGAGCGTGCACTAGGAGAAATTGGCTCCTGCACACTCTCACACATAGTTCCCTGTCTGGAGCGGGTACACTGTTGTGCATGTGCATTTTTGTTTTTTTAAGTGGAGAGGGCGGGTCTTTTCTAAAATTTGCGAAAATCCTCAACTCTACCTTTAAGTATATGCAAAAAGTGTCTTTCCTCTACAAGAGTCAACAGTTGACTGTGCACAACATGATAGTGTAATAGGTCTTTGGTGTCTATTTGAAATACTGAAGTGAATATAAAGCAACACATTTCTAACCATTTGCAGATAGAATCTTCAAAGAAAGTGAAATTAAAAGTTTATAAGGCCTGAAATGACAGGGAAAGAGGAACCTAGCTTAGTTAAAACTCATAATGATGTTGCTTTTACTCTTTAATTATCTGAAAATGGGCAGATTTAACACACTCATACATTATATCATACAATAATATACAATAAAAAAAAATCTTAAAAATATCAACTGCTAAATGATAGTATTTGATAATGACAACAAATCAATTCACACATCAATTCTAAATCAAACTCCTAAACCAAAAGCAACAATTTCATGGAACCCAAATGTACCAGCAGTGGGTTCTCATACCACAGTTTATGTTGAACACACATAAATGCGCACTTCCTGCCCCTCTTCAGCGTTCATAGGCTTTCAGCAGTGAGGAGGTTTCCTTTTTCTTTTCTTTTTTTTTTGTGCAATGCACTTTAACTGTTATTGATGGCAGGAACTAGGCGCTGCTGCTTATCTCCTTCCTGTTTGCTTTCACAAAGACACCGTGCTCGCCACAATTTCTTCATTCAAGTGTTCTGTCCATCTGGATTTAACTGCGTTTTACAGTTTTGAAGCTGAATATCATTTCTGGTTTTGAAGAAAGTTTAACATCAACAATTTTCTGTGAGGATGGTGAGTTTGGCTGTAACTATTTACTTATATATATATATATAAAACATTTTAAATAAAATGTATTCACAAATGTATTCTCTGCTAACCCTCAAGCTCCCAGGCCTCTGGTAGAGGACCCGAGCTTGAGGATGACACATACCACCCCATGAGGGGTGAGAAAACTGTTTTTATATATATATATATATATATATATATATATATATATATATATATATATATATATATATATATATATATATATATATATATATATATATATATATATATATATATAATATACATACATATATATGCTTGTTACTATTTTAAAAAAGAAAGTGTTTTTCTTGGCACTCTTAGTCGATTAAAATCTGTTTAAACAAAAGATGTTTTGTTCTTAATAGGAAAACCAACATGATAGCAATATATGGTTTTATAACATGCTAATGTAAAGAGTCCTTTGTACCGAGATACAAGCATTACAGTAGAGGCATTATTTTTTTACCCTAATTGGGTTGAACTTGGTTCCATTTACATCTAATGTCATTATTTATTTTGCATGGCACCATCTTCTAACTTCTAGTAGGAAATTACTTTTACTTGAACTTCACCATTTAATCTACTGGAAAGGGGAGGTTTCTTTTCTTAGTTTTTTTTTCACAATTTGTTTCTTAGATTTTCCAATTTTAGATGTTTCTCACATTAGACCTGTTGCACAGGTCCGATCATTGATGATGTGTGAATTTTATTACACCTTAATATTAGCTGTCTGTTGCGTGTCAGAACTGATGTTTTCCCCAGTAGTTTATCTAACTAAGACAGTTCCTCTGTCCGCATACACAGTTATAATCTTCATTCTGCACGTGGCAAATATTTGGGAACGGAGTGAGAGCGGCGTCCTTCAGCTAAGAACAAAGTATAATATTTTGATAAGACTGGAGCCATGGATGTCTCCTCATCTTCAAACATTCACAATATAAAGATTTGATTATGTGGCAGATTGAAGTATAAAATACTTCTCTCCCTGTTTGTCATGAGCACTTCCCTTGGTAAGTGCTGCCTTCTGTAACTATAAGCAACTTCTCTGATCTGAGTAAGATTACAATTTCTGTCAGAACCTCTTGTCATTTCTCATTGTTATTTAATACATATATGTTATGAATTGTTATTTAAAGAGTTATCAGAGTGATTTCTTTTCAGGAAAAAGAACCGGAGAGAGAAAGCTTCTAGGTCTTTAATAGACCCAATATATTAATTCAACAATGAATTTTCAGTTTTTAAAACATCTAAACGGTCCTGTGCCTCTTTATCTGAACAGGTCTTTGCATCCATGCACCACTGGTAAAAGTCCTAAGACATTTACTCCAGAAGATCTAAGTTGTTGATCTTTACATCTCTCTTAAAAGGTCTTATTTTTAATCTGCAGTTAAATTGCCTCCAACAGCCCAGTTTAGGCCTGGTTTCTTTTTTTTTCTTTTTTTTGCTGATCAAATTGCTAATATTTTCAGCTTTGTATTTTATGGTGTATTGCATTTTAACTATTTCATTTTAAATCTTCAATTTCAGCTTTTATTTCCAACTAGGTGCCTTGTTAGTAAGTATGTGAACAAATATTTAAATACATAAATGAATGAAAAGAGTTTAAGAGCTAGAATTTTTATTTATCATTTAGGTGTGTCAAAAAACATAATAACAAATCTATAAAAACAAATCTAACAAAAAGCAAATCTATAAAAACCTTAAAGACCAAAAACCTAAAGTCCAGATTGAGAGCAGGCATGAAAAACACGGATTAGACTACAGAGTAAAGAAGAAAACCATTAAGATGTTTATGCTGTTTACTGCCTTCGTAGTAAAACTTAGAACAAAGTAATTTTTTTCATTTTCACAAAAAGACTTCAATTTTTGTTTGGAAACCAAACTAAAATTCAGGTATATTTTTTTATTATATAGTTTTAGATCTTTCTAAATAAAAGCTGATATCATATGTACACTTAGAACAAGTTTTTTTTTTTTTTTTTAAATAAACTGTGCACCTTTGAAATATTGTCTCTTATATCTTATAATTTCCTGACACTCATTCACAGCCTTATTGTTATTTCATGATCTAGTTGTTGATGGTTATCTTTCAATCCTTATCTTTTCTTGCTTGTTCTTAATCAAAGTATGTTTCCCGGAGGCTTGAAATTGTGTAAGATATTCTGTCTGTTTTATTTTTTTATTTATTCAAATTATCAAAGACCAAAAGCAGGTATTCTTAACTTAATCAAATGTTCTATTTTTAAAAATCTGATTTTCGCTGTTCCTCTTCTTGCAGCAGAAAAAACTGCAAGGGGTTCAGATTCTGTACTTCAAAATGCCCTGCTGTGAATGTTTGCAGGTTTGGTTTAGCATGCATGCATGCTATTTCATTTGGGTGGAGAAAACAGACGTCCTTTTTTGGTTTGTTTTTTTGTGGTCATGGTGTCTCTTTCTATTACACTCGGTCAAATATGCACGCCTTCTGCACTAGGTTGAACCCATATTCAGCTACAAGCCCTTTGCGTTCAGTCTTTAGCAGCTTTGAATATTGTAGCCAAAAAAAAATTAAATAAAATGTATTCACAAATGTATTCTCTGCTAATTTCTCTGAACTCAGAATTATGTCTGCAGTGCTAGTTGGTCAGTTGGACTCAATTGATGTCCTGTGGACAGATACTGAAGCAAAAATGTTGGTGGTGTTGATGTTAATATCAAGAATTTTAAAAAACTAAAAATTTCCATCTGAAATGACTGCACAGGGAGGAGGGAGAAAGCGACATTATTTCTAGGTAGTCAGGAAAAACATTATTGGTATCAGTCGAGTTGTAAAATATCTACATACCGGATATAGAATTTGAATATTGTGCATCTTAAAAGAAATGACTCTCTTATCTGCTGGTTCTGGCGCCTGTGAGCAAACAGCAGAAACAACTTTAATTCAATTCACTTCCTCTCACTTCAGAAAATAATAATCCAGATGAAAAATTAAAGCTGTAGTGATTCATGTTCCTGTTGTTTCTTCAGGGAGTTACGGGCGATGTTATTAGTTGTAGCCTGAAAGGATCTCGGGATGCTCAGAGTTTTCCATAATGTCAACAGGTGGGCAGTAACTAGTTACTATCAGGTTCTGAGGTATTTTGAAGAGGATCCAAATGCAGAGACAGTTGCAGACAGTTCTTTTTCACTAGGTTGAACCCATATTCAGCTACAAGCTCTTTGCGTTCAGTCTTTAGCAGCTTTGAATATTGTAGCCAAAAACATTTTAAATAAAATTTATTCACAAATGTATTCTCTGCTAATTTCTCTGAACTCAGAATTATGTCAGAATTATGTCTGCAGTGCTAGTTGGTCACTTGGACTCAATTGATGTCCTGTGGACAGATACTGAAGCAAAAATGTTGGTGGTGTTGATGTTAATTTCAAGAATTTTAAAAAATAAAAAATTTTTTTTAGCAGAAATGCCATCCGAAATGACTGCACAGGGAGAAAGGGAGAAAGCGGCATATTGTTTCTAGGTAGTCAGGAAAAACATTGGTATCAGTTGAGTTGTAAAATATCTACATACCAGATATTATCCAGAATTTGAATATTGTGCATCTTAAAAGAAATGACTCTCTTATCTGCTGGTTCTGGCGCCTGTGAGCAAACAGCAGAAACAACTTTAATTCAATTCACTTCCTCTCACTTCAGAAAATAATAATCCAGATGAAAAATTAAAGCTGTAGTGACTCATGTTCCTGTTTTTTCTTCAGGAAGTTGCTGACAATTTTATTAACCTTGTAACCTGAAAGGAAACGAAATGAGCTTTCGTCTTTTTAATTCAGTTTCGTTTGTAGGCTCCATTAGTCAACTTATTGTAGAGTGGTTCGAGTTAAGTTCTGTGGCCGTACACATGGGTGTGACCAGCGCACTCTCATAAACTCGGCTACTTGTCTCTGCTGGCATTGACACATCAGTAAGAGACCATTGGTGACTGTTGCTGAATTGATCTCAAAAGACCAGCCATAGGTAGTCTATACTTTAAAACCCATTAAACTCTCCAACCAAGAAACAGAAACTAAAACTTACGTTTAGTAAAACAAAAATGGTCAAAATGGAGTCTGATTGGCAATGGAACAATTCGGGAGTGAATGGTGGGTTATTTTTTAGGGGAGATTAAATCTGCACTGAAAATGAAAGGGGCCCAGCAGTTGGCCCATTTTGGGGGGGGTTCCATTTGCCTCAAATGTCTATACCAGAGGTCACGGATTAGCAGACCGCGGTACGGATCCGGACCCACCTGCTGGCTAATTCGAAGCCAGCCTGATTTAAAACATTTATAAATTACAGTGTCTAACCCCGAAACCCCAGATCCTCTTTCTACGCTCCGCGTTCCTCCGCTCCAGACCTCCTGCGCAAAGCAAAGCCTAGCTTCCGCTGTTCCTCCCGTGTTGCTCCGCTCCGACTTCCTCGGAGCTATTAAATTCAGAAGCAAAACATGCAGAAATGAACGCTTAATTTAATATGACAAATTGAAAAAATCCCCATCATCATTCAGCCAGCATTTTTTTTTAGTTTCTGCCCAATTTTCGTTTTGTTGTGGATTTTTGTAACAGAGATTAGGATCATACGTGGCTTTTATGAACTATGTTTGTTCTCTGCTTCCAAACTCAGCATCTCTTCATCCTTGGCTGAGATGAGAGGTTTCTTTTGAAGTTGTGAGAGGCGCCCTTGGTCGTTTTGACTGGATTCGATTAAACTTTTAAGCCTCTTAGTATAAAATAAATATTTTGACCGAGATGAGAAATCTGCATCCTGGTATGTTGAAGGACCAATAGTTTGCATCCAATCATTTAAACAAACGGTCTTAGTTTTGGGGAATATATAAGCTCACGAATGAGCCTGGAATGGCTTAATAATGGCTTAGTCTCCATTCAAACCCAGGTTTAAAGCCTTGCAGGGCAGCCTAAAGCCTACTGCTCTCATTAAGACATAAAAAAAAAAGGAAAAAATAACAAACGGTCAGTTCAGATGTTTTCTAAAATATGTGAATCAGGAAATTGTCTGTATACCAAACTGAACGATTGTTGTACTTTACTTCATAAAACACTTTAGATTTTTAAATGAAAAAATGCTCTATATTGACCCCTGGTCTATACTGTCCCAATTCTCCAGATATTCATACTTGTAATCCGCACAATTGAACCTTAAATGCACGTCATCCATGTGCACACTTCTAAGAGGGGCTTAGGGTTTAATGTGAGTATCAGGATTTGGCCAATGTAGCTCCTGAATTGGGAAACACCCAACAGGACATGTGAACAGTTTCTTTCATTTCTTTGTCATACATTTTTTCAGGATCTATATATTTTATAAATATGCATTTTGGGCAGGACTTTTTCTGCCAATCCTCCTGGATTTTTATATTCAGTAGAGGGGGTTATGCACCCAGTGCAAGAGGCAGGGGTGAAGGCAGAGGCATCAAGTAACAATTTACAATACTTTGTTGCCTTACTTAAGTAGAAATTTTGGCTAGTTATACTCTACTGGAGTAATTACTTTTACCCCTAAAATTTTTTTTTGCAATTATCTCTACTTTCTACTGCTTATTTCGTAGTTTTTTATCTTCTTTTTTTTTTTTTTTTTAGCTTCTTTTCGTTTTAGCTTTTTGGTGTGTAGAAAAAAATTAAAATAATTTGTTTGATCCAGACATACATTCCTTTGTAGATGGACTTGGTACTTCACCAACTTGTTGTTCACTACATACCAAAATAAGTAGTTTTTCTAGATATTAAGTTCAATTTGACATGTTTGCCATTAGTTATGAAACTAAGAAAAATTAAGTCTAAGGAACCTATCATCCAGAGTTGCAGATCAACGTTCCCTTAATAAGCTTGAGCAGTAAAGTACCTTTCCTTTATTTTTCTTCCTGCATTACCAGTACTTTTGCTTTCATACATTAAGTAGTTTTGAAAATGGTACTTTTACATTTTTACTTCAGTAAAAAGCTTAAGTTGATGCTCAAACTTGTACCAAAGTGGTTTTAAACAGTAGGAATTCAACTTCTTTTTGAGTAATAAACATTAATACTATTGACGCCTCTGGTTATGAGAAAAGCAGGGCGAATATTCCAGGAAGGAGCCACATTCTCTATGTACGGAAATGACCCAAATCACCTCAGAGCAATGCTTTGAATCTGCTCAGGAAACAACAGACCTTTTTTCTTATCTATTATCTTTTTTGGCCTTGAGGCTACTGAACCATGATGACTGACCAGTAAATTCGGACAATGCACTTATTAGGCCCTTTTAAAACAGTAACATGTTGCTTTTCATTTCTTTGCCTTATTGTCTGTACTTTCCTGATGGAGCGCAAAAGTGAAAGGTCCTTTAGGAATAAACACTTCCCATAATCTGGATCTAATGCCGCTTTCAACTTCTCTGCCTCAAATAAAAACACTTATAGATTAAAAGGACACTAAACTTGGAAGATGGACATTAAACATCAAAGATATTGATCAGGAAAATTGTATATGACAAAATTTTCAAGTAATTGTCTTCATTTAAATAAAAAAAACAGTTTTTGTCAAATATACAATTTTTCTAGTTCCTCTCCCATTTTGTATCAGTATGTGCTAAATATAGCTTTTTATTCTTTAGTTTCTGTGTGTTTCATAAGATGTGCTGTAGTGTTAATCCACATCGGTAAAGATTCTGTAATGAAAACTGCAGCGTGGTTTTCCAGCCCTCCCTTGCATGTTATCCAGCAAGCTGGCAGAAGAAGGCCTGGGTTTTGCACTTTGAGCTAAAATATTACTTTCTCCGCCACAGACTGGTGTCCTGAAGATCAATTTGAATGACTGATGATGAAAGGTCTGAAAACCTCTGCAATGGGTCCCCATCAGCCACAGCCACCAGCACCACTACGAAAAATAAAACAACTGTTGGTCATCGGTCTTCTCATCCTGTTGATTGTTCTGTTCAGAGGGACATATAGGTGGGTGGAATCCTTCTCTAATCTTAGCTGGATCTAAGTTCAGCAAATTGAAAACATAGTAAGGATGAAAAAGCCAGTTTTTGCACTGGACATAACTTTAAGGTTATCAAATGTTCCTCTGTAGAAGTGGTGAATGGACTGTCCTTATATAGCACCTTTTTGTATAAAGCCACACATTCAGAAACACGTTTACAATATAAAGATGGTTAATGCTGGTGGTGCTCAGTATGTGTTTTATATGTACTGTACTCTTAACACTACACACTAAGAGGTATAACATTGTGGCCCCCTCTTCATTGTTGCTTAGCTTTATTCTGTTCAGTTCTTGTAAGGTCCATATAGATTATTTCAACAGCTTAATGACTGGACTCTGACTGCCACTGCAGCATTTTTATGGTTTAGTTTATGGCAGCTGTGTTTATGTACAGCTGAGAGGCAAAGCCTATAGATAAGCTCAGGGGAAGGGCAACTTTGACCTCGGAGGCCCCCTGGGAGGGGCACTTTAGATAATATCATATCACCATGACTGCTCTTGACAAACTCAGTAAGTGTTTTCATCCCTGCTTTTATTTTCACAGATTTTCAAACCCTTGCCATTAATGTTTTTGTTTTCTGTGCCCTATGTGCATTAAAAAAAGTATATTATTTGCAATAAATGCACAATATTTTTCTATTTAGATCATGGCTGAATCAACATATGCAGGATCTCCAGGTTGTGTAGCAGCTAAACAAGCCATCACATCACAACTCTACACTCAGCTGATTTCATTTGTTCGCACTATTAATTTTTGGTTTTAATCCATACAATATGCTACACATAGCTAGCAACCATGTTTACTTTTGGTCTCATTGGGCCTCATGGAAAAAACATTTTAATATTCTTGTTAGGGATGTTCTGATCTAATATTTATATTGGATATCAGTCTGATATTAGGCAGCATCTAAAATCTCTGATATTATAATGCTAATAGAAATGCTCTGCTTTGTTAAAGGTTTCTGTCACTCAGTGCTTAATTTTACAGCGGTCATTTGTTTTATACCTTTTGTTGATGACTTTTGTTCCCTGTTTTAGTAATATTACTTGATCAAGCTTTTCTAACATTCTACAGTAAAAAATAAGCAATAAAAGCTGGTATGGTTCATGCTAATATCGTTTTGGGACAATATTAGTTTGAGCCAATTCTCAAAACTGCAATATCGGTATCGTATCGGAAATTAAACCATTTAATTGCAAAACCCCCAATTCTTAAGTGCGTACTATTAGATTCAACAATCGTTCTTAACTTCAGAAAAATGCTCGTAAAGGACCCTCATTAAGGCGATGCAGTCCACCTGTGCCTAAGAATGCGTGTGTTCACAAAGGTCTGTTTATTTAAGACAGAACTGTAGAGAACAGCTTCGGCATCTAAGGCAAGAACCTCTGCAGGAGGAGACCAAAGGTTAGTGACCTGTTCTATCTGGCAGAGGATGATAGAGAATGTGTGAGTCACTAACCTGGTCTTTAAGGTCAGTCCATCCCCAGAGGATGAGGTTCGTTCCAGCCTGTCATCTGCTTACAAGACGCTGCAAGTGCCACCCAGAGAGTCCCAGACAATGAAGTCCTGGAGGTCGGAGAACAGGCAGGAGATCAGAACCGAGCAGAAGAAGGAAGGCAGAATAATCCAGAGGGTGAAGCCAAAGCCGCTGTTGAGGTGGTGCTCAGGAGCTAGGGTCGGGAGATCAGAGACCCAAAGAGGTACAGAAGAGGAATCCAGTGTCAGGTATTAGTTCCAGGTTCAGTACACCGGCAGAATCCAGCACGGTCCGTGGACAGGTCAGGCAAACAAATCTGGAAGTAGCAGTAAGTATGACCCGGGGCACATGAAAAATGGGGTGACCCGTCATAGAACGGGGAAGATGGAGGGGGATGGCCATCCGGTTCACCACCTTAGCAATAGGGAATGGCCAGATTAACCGAGGTGCCAGCTTCCAGCTTTCCACCCTCAAAGGCAGGTCCTTGGTGGAGAGCCAAACGTTCTGACCCTCCGGCAGTTAGCACCCTTGATTTGGCCCTCCCATGCACTACAGCTAGCCCTACTCCAGTCTCGCTGGCACCGCATAGAACCAACAGAACCTTGGAATCTTTCTCTGGGATATTGAACACGGGTGGCTGAAAACCCAAAACAACATGAAACAGAGAGAGCCCATTGGTCCTAGAAGGAGCAGAATTCAGTGCATATTCAAACCATGGCAGTTGCCTGGACCATGGTCAAGAAGGTATTTGTAGAAGACGTAATAAGCCGGATGGGGGTCTTCTCGATGTTTTGGCCTGGTTGCAGAAGAACCAAGCTGCTACAAACTCCTGTACATCTGTAAACAGAGAATGCCACTTGAATTATGGCCAACAATAAATATACCAATAGTCTTAGTCGTAATACCAGGATGACAAAACAAGCGGGGACCTGTGACAGAACTCTAAAACACTTTGTATTAAAATGTCAGGAACAATCAGACAATCCTTAGGGCATGCTTCCGAGGTTTCGTGATTACAGAGAGCCCCTCTTACCTCCTTTTCAAAGTCAACCATAGTGACGGCACACCTCACAGACTAAAACATACTCCTCTGCAATGCCGGAACTCCCCTCGTCCATCTCAAACACTTTGGACAGTGCATCAGGTTTTACTTTCTTAGTCCAATGGTTTTAAGACAGAGAGAAATTAAAGCTTACAAAGAAGAGTGTCCACCTCCCCTGTCTGTGGTTAAATCGCTCAGCAGTCTTCAGGTATTCCAGGTTGTTATGATCAGTCCATACCAAGAATGGGACCTTGGACCCCTCCAACCAATTTATCTATTATTCCAGGGCTAGCTTTACTGCTAGCAGTTTCTTAACAACCACAACATAGTTCCTTTCTGCACTCATAGGTCCCTTACACTGACAAAAGTGTAACATGTAACTGTTCATTCAAACTAATGCTTTTCAGTCTGAACTAGATAAAATTATTGATTTGATTGTGTAACTCATTCTTTTTGGATTTTGTGACATCAAGTTTGATTTAACCTGAACTAAATACATGTAGAAAGGACCCAAAACAAAGTTTTTGATTTCTCTCAATATGTATATATTTATTCATGGCCTGCAGGTATTTTTTTTGTTTTGTTTAAGTCAAATGTGAACTGTGCCTTGCATGCAGTCAGAGCACGTGATCAAGTCCAAGTCCAAGACCATGACAGAGTGGTTCATTGGCGCAGTGGCTAGCACTGCTGCTGTGCAGCAAGAAGATTGCGTATTTGTAACGTCAAATGATATCTAAAAAATCTAATTTGGTTATATTTAAATTAACTGGTTTCTATACAAACATTAATTCTTTTTAATTTAGTTAAAAGTAACTACATTAGGTTGTTTCAATTTCAATATATTAGTTTAATTCATTAACTGAAATGTTAGCCTGTTCGTTCTAACAGAACTTGATCTTAGCTTAGATCAGGGCGTGAAGGGGCCCAGCTACCTGACTGTAGTGTTTGATCAATTCTCTGTAGAAATTAGAAAACCTCAAGAATCGCAGTAATTGCTTTCTGTCCTTGGGAACAGGTTAGTCTTTAACTGTGCTCCCCATAGTCCACATATGTCAAAGTCAAGGCTCGCGGGCCTGGCGTGCACAGAATACCGGGATTTAACCCATCCCCTTGGGGAGCAGTGGGCTGCCATTGTGCGGCGCCCGGGGAGCAGTGTGGGGTTAAGGGACTTGCTCAAAGAGTCAAAGTGCAGGCTGCGGGGATCAACCTGGGTATTACTGCTGGTTGTGAAGTAACATGGATACAATTAATTTTACTCAATTATTTTGCCTTGTGATTTTCAGGTCACTTACCCACGTCGCGATTTTCAACTTCTACAGAGGAACACCTCAAAAATGGGCCTCCTCTGTAAACTCTTCTTTTTTCAGGATAGGAATTAAAAAACACTCAGGTAGGCTACTGATTATTCATAATTTATTAATGAATTGATTGCCTTTTAATCTAGCAACCAAAAGTTTGCAGTTTACAAGAGATTTTCATCTGATTTCTCATGCAGCTCCACAGAAAGATGAAGCCTCATTTATTGCTGTAAAAATGACAAAGACATTGTTGATATCAGCTTATCTAGAACACCGTTCAAATCAAAAAGAGGTGAGCAAAATAGTTTTATACCCTTTTATTATCAGTAATGTTGTGCAGTTATGATCTATTCCGTGGATATCACCGTTCAAAATGTATGGTATGTTTGTGAACCAAAGTTTATCTTTAATAATTATAAGGTCAAATTAACTTTTAACTAATTTACAGTAATTTTAAGGTGTTCAAACCAATTCATAAAGCATATCCAAGAGGTAAATTAAATATTATTTGGTAAAATAATGTTTCATTAAAAGATTTGTTAAATCAGAAACTAATCTTAGCTTCGCCTCCTCTGTTCCTGTTTGGCTGTGACACAATCCTGGAGAGACATATCAGCTGTGCTTCTGCCATCAACAATCTTGTTTATAGATGTTGGAGATCGGCCTGTTTTCCAGTGTAGTCCTGTTTCTCTGACTCTGACTGGCTGGATGTGCTCTCTTCAGCCTTTGACATGAGAGTTGGCTCGGAGCACGTCTGCCTGGATGTGTGTTTCCTGGACAGTTGAATTTTGTATCTCTGCTTCTGTCTCCTTGAACCCCAGTCGGCCTCAGCAGATGGCCGCTCACACTGAGTCTGGTTCTGCTGGAGGTTTCTTCCTGTTAAAAGGGAGTTTTTCCTCTCCACTGTTGCTACAAGCATGTTTAGTGTGAGGGATTGCATTTGAGTCAATGAGTCAATACAATCAACTTGTTTTCCTTAGATAGAAAACTTTGAATCACTCTGACTGTATGATCTGGTGAATTGTAAAATGCCTTGATATTACATGTGATATGAATTGGCACCATAGAAATAAACTGAATTGAATTACTAACCTTCAATTAATTGATAATAAATCTTTTTTGATTGAGCTAGTAGTTTGGCGACATGTGGGGACTACTCTTAAAGGACTCTTTGGTCATATTTTGTACATCAAATACGATTAGCATATAAAGAAACAAATGTAAAATATATTAGTGTTTAAACCCTTGTTCAATAAAGTTTGTTTTAGCTTTATAAGACAAAAGCTAAAAAAATGTCAGCAGGGTGTACCATGCCATTCAACTTCTTAACTTGTTTTACACAACAATAAACACATGAAATGATAAAAAATCATCAAAAAGGAGTAGCTGAAAACTTTTAACTGTTGCTGATCTCATTTAGAAAAAAAAAGGCTCAGTTGTCTTTAGTACAGGGGTCACCAACCTTTTTAAGGCTGAGGGCCACTTCCAGGGTAATGAGTCACAGGAAGGGCTACCAATACTGACCCATGCACAGCAAGGGTCAGTGTTCACCTAAACTTCATTATACATTATAAACATTTTTATTGTTTCCTTTACGTTCTAATTTTATTTTAGACATTGTCATTTTGAAAGGATCTATAAATTATTAAAAAATGAGAGAAACAGAATAGAATAAAATTTCAAACTTAGCCCACTGGTGAATTGTTATTTTCTTAGAAGTCTGAGGGCACCCCATGTGGTCTATGAGGGGCACCACGTTGGTGACCCCTGCTCTAGTATTTGGCAGCTTAGCATGGCAGGCCCACAGCAAGGAAACCCCCCTTTATACCTGATGTTCCATGCCTCCATTCTCTTTATGCATCTGAAATTTCTCTGTAACACAGACAGAAATGTGGCAAAAAGTCTTCGTTTTTTTTTTTTTTTTCAGTTTGGTTCTAAAGTTAGCCATGATGGCCTCTTTATTGATACGACCCTCAGGAAAGTATCACTGCTACAAGGCAAAGCGACAGGGTTCCTTTGAGTTGATTATTTTCCTCTCAAGCAATGTGGAGGGCAGGGTCACATGTCCTTGTAAAAGGCTGGTTATACTCCCCTCAGCAGTGTGTCACAGCGAGCTTGTTGCAGATATTTTTGATTTATGCCCAATATTGAAGCGTGGTCTGCGCTATGTTATTCCACGGCAAAATGAAAGAGAGACAGTCATAAACTAGCAGTGGGTCTAGATATAGCCGAGGCGGTGAGGAAGTGGGGGCAAGTTTGTGCGTCAACGGAGAGACATGAGGGGAAAAAAGAACAGGGATCCAGGTGGAAAAATGGCGGTCTCACAAGTAAGGTAAGGTACCAACCAGGAAATACGCATAGTGTAGAGTGGATGTTGATTTGATCAATCAGAGGCCTCCTGTCTGCGGCACTGTCTACGGTCACCTACAATTTTGGAGAGGTGCAGCAGAGTGTCTGCAGAAGGGGTAGGGGCACATTTGCATTCACTGCGACACAAAAGCAGGCAACCTGGTTTCTGAATATAAATGAGCCTTAAGAGTGTAGTAGGAAGTGTCTGGGAGTGAGGGGAGTCCAACAGGAGAGCAAAAATGCATCAATCTAGGCCAAAGTTTATAGTTAATATCAGCATGGACATTGGTCCCTAATGTTGAAAATTCATATAATGGTTTATGGCTCAACACAAGAGTCAAGGGATTCACTAATCGGGTACTATAAGCTGACATTCCAAGGGGGAGTCAGGACCACTTAAGCTATTGTAGGTGAACAACTTCTTTCTCTCCATCTTAAAATGTAGAGAAGAAAAGCGGATCTAAGAAATAGGATTGTAGACAACTTCAGAAACACTTGGCCAATGCTAAGGTTATGCAAGCAGCATTGATATAGCATAACTTTAAAAGAAAATGTTGCATAACAAGTCTTGACTAGTAACCTAAAAACTAGCACCAGTATTCTTGGAATTAGAGAGTGTCACAGTGGTAGACACGGAATGCATGTCTAAATTAGTAAATGTAAATCAATAAACATGAATAATGTATGATTTGCAGTTCTCCTTTGTTGCCAACTCCCACATACACGTGACATGAAATGTTTATCTGTGAGAATATAGTGACAACTCTGCAACCATTCAAATCACAAATTCGCAATTATGGATCTACAAGATAATACATTGCTTACCCAATGGTGGGACCTAAATGTGTTTCTCAGGCACCTTTAAAAGAGAAGAGGAAGAAGAAAAACACAGAACCATCAAAGTTTTGAAAACAAAATTTAATTGAAGATTTAAAATTCAATCGATGGTGATGTTTTCATAGTCATTCCAAAAAAGTTAAAACATTTTTGAAGATGTTTCGCTTCCCATCCAGGAACTTTTTTTAATTCAAAATGTCAGGAATAGCATTGCGTTCGAGGCTATATAAATTGGCCCAGCAAGACCTTGTTTTTTGTTTAGAAAACATGCAAAGTGAAACGGACGAACGGGTCCACCGCTTGGAATGGGGGTCGTTTGGCTTCTTTTGTTAGCCTGCAAAGCCAAATACCTGTCTATGTCTCTGAAAGGGGGTCGTTAAAGGGAATTGTTGGCCTGGCTGAATAGGCGAGGTCTTTTTTTCCCTGTAAAGGGGTTGGGGTTTTTAAAAGCTCAAATCTGATGTTTTTTTCTTCCTCTTCTTCTTATTCAATGCTAGTTGGTAAACAGTTTTCAGGGGCATTACTGCCACCAACTGGCCGGCAGTATAAGAGCTTCATCAGGGGCTTTAGATTTGTAGTCATCCATTTGTGATTTGTACCAGTATTCTAAACAAAAAAAAATGTTTTAACCTCTTTTTGCTTTTTCTGTGTGTCAATTCCATATGATCAAAAATTGTGATACAATAAAAATTAAATGTGACCTTGTCAGTAACTCTTTAATCTCTTTAATCAGATCCGGGTTATAGCCATTGTGTGGCGAGAAGAGAAAGTCTCCTATCGTTGCATCTTTCACTGTCAGAACCAGCAGTGGTACATCTCGAAAGGTGCTCTCAACATCCATACAGACCACTTTGGGTTCTCATACGGAACAGCGGACATCATGTGTCCCATCCCCCCAGAGTGTGAAAATCCATCTCACATTTCTGTGGCTTCTGATGAGACGATATCTGAAGGTATAACAGGGTTTTTTTTGATCACTTTAACTAAATGGTATCATCCACATTTCCCTGGCTGGCAATACAGTAAAGCAGGGTTCTTCAACATTTTCCAGGCCAAGGACCCCCAAACTGATGGCGAGATGGAGCGGGGACCCCCTAATTAAATATATATATTGTATGAAATAGTCGTATATCAAACTTGTCCTATAGACACTCTATTACAGATGGAGTAATGAAACTAAAGTAACTTCTCCCTAAAATTCTTATTAAAGTATTTCAGATTCTGATTCCTGGTTGATGGGACAGGTGTTGTGAATGAAACGGTGCCCAGCTTGAAAGAGCTCCTGTGTGTCGCTGAATGTGTGCATTGATGACTGAAAGACATCTTCTGCCTCCATTTATCTATTTACTGCAGTCTGTTGAATTCATGTTCATGTGGATTTAAACACATTTCAATTAGTGGGAAATTGCAGGGGGGAATAAAAAAAAAGTCAAATCAACCAAAACGTTCAGGACCCCCATGCAGTACTTCTGTGGACCCCCTAGGGATTGCGGACCCCCTGTTGAAGACCTGTGCAGTAAAGTATAGAAGATATTAGGGAAATTGTTACAGGCTCAGGAAAAACATTTAAAAACAGCATGTTTTAGGTGTTCAGATTTATTATCCTTTAAAAATCATTATTCAGTTGTCGGAGAGCGTATTACTCCTGAAGATTTGTAGAGCATCAGATCAGCCATACAATAAAATATAAGAAGATACGATGTATTTTCAAGATCCCTATGTCTTCTTTTCTTTCAGATGAATATATGGAAGAATTTTTGGAAGTGAATAACAAAAAAGCACAGACTGAATCTTTTCCTTATGACTTCACAGTCTGTATTTCTACCATGTTTGATTTCACCAATGTGCTTCAGGTAAATCAAACTGTCTTTCTGGTAATAGTAATTGTTTTTGATACAATTCCAAATCACAGACTCCATGCAGACTGCCCAGTTCAACTCTCCTGACCCTCTTGGCATATATTTTTGAAAGTACTACAAATTTCTTTTTGCTTGCATAAAAGAAGTGTCCTTTTAAATTATGGAGCCCTTTAGTAATTATATTTAATTTTGTGTTTTACAATTTGTTTTTGATGCACCATTTGTTGGTAAACTTCATGCTCTTGTTTGTTTACCCAAACAAGACCATGTAACGAATGTGTGCTACAACTACGGAAGGTAGCAAGGCAGCAAAGCAAATCAGCATTTCTCCAGCAGGGGTGGAAAAAAAAAAAAAAAACAGATTCCAAGACGGTAAGATAAGATGTGGGTTGTGCTCGGAATACAATAGGAACACTGATGCTCACTGATGCGGCAGATAAAGAACCAGAAGGAGGCAATTTGATGGATTCACGATAAAGTAAAACAGAGAAAAGCAGTGTTTATGTCATCTGCTAATCATGCCAAAAATTGCTTTTTGGCTCAAAAAGAGTTAAGTAAACATAATGGACATTGGAAAAATATTTAATTAATTCAACATGAATTTTAGGTTTTCTTTTTTTTTTCATCCATAGTGTCATGATCGGTTCTCTAATGGAGACCCAAAGATGCAGAACACCACTGACGGACACAGGATGAAAAGTTTAACAAGTTTATTTGCACAAACCCACTGAATATGCAGAAGGCTGGTTCGGGCCTGGATTCTGGTTTCACCGGAGTCTGCGTGAGAGACAGCACAGTTAAGGACTGTTGACGGGGTTTGGTTTCCAATGAAGCACAGATAGTACCTTGAGGGTTCTTGAGGTTCTCTTTGGGTGAGTCACTGTTGGTTCTGGAGAAGGATTTAGTAGCAGAGTCCGTTAGCTGCTTCAGCGTCTCACGTCTAGTTTGAGCAGTCCTTGGCATTGGTTTCCCAGCTCTAGCCCAGAGCTGCTTGGAGGTTGTCTGAGGATCTTCAGGGTTTGGCTCTGAGGGTCGGCTCGGCAGGTTAGCTCTTCCAGAGCTTTCACGGAGGAAGCACGAGTTTCCTAGAGGCACAGAAACAGAAGTTAGAATCCAACTAGGGATTAGAGTCATGGAGATAATCACTGAGATCAAGGCTTTAGCGCTGACCAACTGGAACAACACTGCGGCGTTGAGGCAAGGTCTGAAGACAGCTTATGTAGTGGATCCTCTGATGATCTTGATGAGCTGCACCTGTGCAGGAGGCTCCCTCAGAGGATCCACGGCGGACTCTGCTGGAGAAAGATGGGATTTTCTCCAGCTCCAAACACATAGTATGTGAAGGTGCTCCTTTAAAACCTATTCTGCTATTACATAGCAAGGATTAAAATGCAATGCTTCAAAACATATGTTTGCTTTAATGTGTCAAATAAGATCTTTCTCGTTTGAGACACTGCTACCAAGTCCATTTTTAATATTGTCATTTTAACATCAGGGTCTAAGTCTTGACTGTCTTTATCTTCCCCAAACTTGCCAATGAAGGGATTGACGAAATCCACTCCCCATGTCTTCAAAGGACACAAAGAAGACATGACCCTTTCAGCCTGGGGAAGCTTTTTCTGAGTTGTCAAAAATTGCTATAAGTTCAGATAGGCTTTGTACTTGTACTCGTCATCTTATACACTTATGCAGGTCCAGGCCTCTAATGGTACTTGCCTGGAAGACCTCCTGAGGGAGGCGTCCAGGAGGCAACTAAGAAAGATGTCCGTGCCACCTCAGCTGACTCCTCTCAATGTGGTTTATTCCGAGCCTTTCACAGGTGTCTGAACTCCTAGTCCTGTCAATTGGGGAGTGCCAAGACATCCTGTTATGAAAGGTCATTGCAGTCGCTTTTTTTTTAAATCTTGTTCTTTAGATCATGGCCCAGATTTCATGACCAAAGGTGGAGGTAGGAATGTAAATCGAGAGCATTGGTTTTTTTGCTCAGGTCTCTCTTCACCGTAACAGAGTGGGCAATATGTGGTGTCTACATTATACCATACCGATCTGTCCATCAATCTCCTGCTCCAATGTCCCTTCACTTGGGAAATGAACCCCAAGATACATAAATGGTTTACAAAAAATGCTTTCCAACTTGTTCAAAGATTTTTTCCCATGTCCAAGTTTTTGCTTCTGGTACCTTGGAAGCTAACAACCTTCTGCCCAGTGGATACCTTTCTTTATAAACAAAGAAATCCGACAGGTTATTTTTTCACATTTATGTCTTCCATTGCACCTGACTTCCACAAGAATGCTCTCCAGTTTTTGTTTGACGGCATCAGTTACCTTTAGCCATCAATTTTCGCCAAGTGGCATGTCCTTTGGAGAAACTTAGCATGTGGTTTCATGTCCACCATAACTCTGGATGGGGATAAATCTCTCTTGGTGGTATGAGTTAAATTTTGTGTTTAACCAGATGTTCACCAATCATCTACAACCCATTCGTGGCACTGAAATAAGGGGGCATTCCTGAATTGTCTGTTGCAACTCTCTTTGGGTAATTCTTGATGAAAAGAAAGTCTAGCCTCCTTCCAATAGATGGAATCTAGAGCCCAGGGTGTGTGGTGGTTCATCCAACCATGTATAGTTTTGTTTTCCAACTCACAAGCCAACTGTAGGTCCTTTTAAACACTATGCTGATATTCTTTGTCTACTTTTATGGCCAGTTAAGTAGCACACACACCCACGGGCAACCTAGCTTACACTGGACCCAACATCGCCATATCTCCCTGTAGGTGGTGGTGGTTAGTTGCTGTGGAGGGGGCTCCAGTGGGAGCATGACTAAAAGGTAGAGTGTCCCACTAAAGGTTTGGCTGCAGGCCGTTACCCTGGTTTCCCTGCTCCTGATGAGGTTTACCACCCTCTGTGATTTTTAATGAACATGTTACCCTTTACCTGATCCCTTATCTGAGGCTTAATCATACCTGTTGGTCAGCAAACCAGGTGGCCAAGCTCTGGCCGGTCTTATCCTTACAGTCATCCATAGTCATTAATTTAGACGATAATATCATGGGCTTCAAAGTAACCGTTAGTAACACTTACCTTGCTGCAGGGAGGTCCGGGTTTAAAATTTGACTGCATGGATTTTGTCTGTTTCGTGGGTTCTCTTCACATTCTTCAGCTCTTTAGTCTAGTAACATGCCTTTTAGTTAATTGGTCTCTGTAAAATGCATCGTTTTTCTGTCCTTTGTGTTTCTCTGATGGATTATCCTCTGGCTCGAAGACAGAAAGGCCCCAAATCCTCTCCCCTAGTTTATTTGTTTGGTCTATTATACACAATTGCATGTCAAGTTAAGTTTTTATTTGCTCGTTTGGTTTTATTTGGTATTGAAAGAGTTGTGTTGTCTTGCAGCTGGTGCAGAGTTTCGAAATGCTTCAGTTACTTGGAGTGAACAAAGTTTTTGTCTACAAAACCAACTGCAGCGAAGAAACACAACGTGTTCTGGACTATTACTCAAGCAAAAAAGGTACAGTTGTATAGAGTTAAAGTAATGATCTGTGTCTTGAATGCCTGTCTGAATCCAACATGTTCATTATTCTTAAAACACCTTCATCTTAACAATATTTGTGGGTGGCTGCTTACAATCCATATCATGACTCTTGTGTTCTGAATTTTGCTAATTAAAAATTGTAACAAAAAAAGGTAAGTAATTCAGAAGTTAAACTATTGGCTCTGGCTGTTCTATGGCAATCCTCTGGCAGTCCTCTGGAGACTTGTTGTATTTCGTTTCTGAGTGTTAATTGTTGGCGGCATTTCTGCCTCCTAGTGTAAGGTTGGTCCGCCAAGACTGTTACTGTTGTTTTGAGAGAAATAATCATAAATAGGCTCTAGGTATGCACCTTGTCACTCCATCAATCCGGCTCTTTTCCTGAAAAGAGATCACTTGGGACAAACTCTTTAAATAACACTTCATAACTTATATGTATTAAATAACCAGGAGACATGACAACAGATTATGATAGAAATTGTAATCTTACGCAGATCAGAGAGATTGCTTAGAGTTTACAGAAGGCGGCTGCTCACCTCTGGGCTCACCTCTCAGGAAGTGGCCCCGATTAACAGTTAAAAAGGCAGTTTATACTTAATTCTGTACATTGCCACGAACAGAATGAAGATTATAACTGTGTATCCAGACAGAGGAACTGTCTTAGATAAACTATTGTGGAAAACATCAGTTCTGACAAGCAACAGGCAGCCAATTAGCCTGGGTGCCAGTCCGAACTTAGTCCCGCCCACAAGGTTTGAGTTCGGGGAAGTTCGGTCTGGCTCTGCTCCATAGTAGCGCGAGTATTAAAGCCCACTGTCAGGCGATCCAATCAAATTGTCAGGGCGGGCTTTATACGATGATGGACAGATGATCAAGAGTAACGTTATCAACCACGTGACCAAAGCGCGCTTGGGTGACAACAATAATGGCTGCCGCTGGAGAGTTTGGGTGAGTAGATTCTGCTATTAGGTCTGTTCTAGAAGATATCGACAGCAAATTAATTTTAAAAGAGGAACAGAGAAACGCGATCAAGTCTCATCTTCTTATTCTAGGCGTGAAACTGCACGCTTTGATTTTTGTGGACAACAACTATGCGTCGCTTAACATACGTCACGCACTCCGTTGCTCTTATTGGTTGTAGGTCTATCCAATTGAGTGCAGAGGCTTTTTTTTTCCTGGTTCGTTCAAAACACGCCCCATAATCACAGCTCTATGGAGCAGTATCAGACTCATATTCTGACTAGAATTGAGTTGGACTACGTCAGGCTAGCAGCCAATACCAAGGTGTAATTAACTCACACATCTTCAATGACAATTATCCTCAACATTGGGATTGATTCTATGGCTGATTCCCAACATGACAAGTTGTAGCTCCTAGCTTTTGTACATGATTGTACATGACGTTAATTTTCAGTAATATTGTCTACTTGTGCTGTAGCAGCAGAAGTTTTTTTTCTACATGAATGTGAGTATGAAGATGCTTTAAAAACACAGTTTATCCTGTAAACTGTGGATTGCAGGTTGGAATCCATTATTGCTACAATTGCTAGCCTGGCCAGCTAAAAAACGAGATGTTTAGTGACTGATTTCACATCCAGAACTAGAGCACAACTAACAGAGGCTGTGTCCAAATGTCCACCCTATTCACTATATAGGGCGCCAGAGTGTCCGAACGTCTAGTGGAGGAAAAAGTGGTGGACTCAAAATTTCCCACAATGCATCTTGTAGTGATCATCCATGGTCACTAGAAAAGAAGATATATCCTGAAATGCTTTGGGAGGAGAGCCCTCCACATAAAACCTTATGGGATTTGTTGTCACAGCAGCAGAAACAAAGATCAGGAGGCGAATTGCATGGATTGTTACCAATATCTGGTGGAAATGTCATGTCAGAAGCACCTCTATAAATGTATTTACTGAGAAAAATGGAGGTGTGTTCAATAATTACTTTACCCACTTTATAGAGGAAGCTTACCAAGTTAAACTTTTTCTCTGAGCTGTCAGGATGGGTTCCCTGGTTTTTGTGAAGCTTTTTGTTCTCTAATGGTCTTGAAGTTGTTTTTCTTTTTTTTTTTCTTTTTTTAAATGTAAGATGAGTATAAAAGCCATTTGAAGGCACTTGCATAAGACCTGGGTTAGGATAACAGTGAGTGTGTCTCATAGATTTTTAGGGTTAACCTGAAGCTTTACATCATTTTCTTCTCAGGCTTTGTGGAGGTGATTCCTTGGTCCATGTCCAGGTTTCTAAATGTTTCTCGAGGATGGCTGCCTGAGCATGGTCCTGGTGACCTCCACTATTTTGGTCAGATCCCTGCTCTCAACGACTGCCTCTTCAGGAACATGTACAAATCCAAATATTTGGCATTGCATGACATTGACGAGCTCATACTGCCACAGACGGTCAAAAGGTAGAAAACACTTTTCTGAACGGGGCCGTCTTTTACAGTTACCTTTTGCATCTCTGCTTCTGTCTCCTTGAACCCCAGTCGGCCTCAGCAGATGGCCGCTCGTATCGAGCCTGGTTCTGCTGGATCATTTAAATTGTATTTTTTGACTGTTTAATAGGAAAGGAATAAAATCCTGTTTAATTTCACACTTATTTATTTTCTTATATATTGTTTTCCTTCTCACCTGAATAAATAAGGGAGGTCTGTTTCCTCAAAAAAATTTGAAATTAACTTTGGTTTCTGCAAATTTTTGTATTGCCAAGCAAACATGAGATGAAGTAGAAAAGCACTCGGAGAGCACAGACCTCCGCCAAGTAGCTCATTTCCTCCAACACATTGTTACTTAATGCCTGTATTCAGTAATTCTGTAATCTTTCAAAACATTTTTGGATCCAGATTAATTAATTTGCTGCCAGTCACAATATGCACCTTATTTGAAATTTAATTAATTTAAAAACAGACAGACTGGGATGAAAACATAAGCACCTTGGTTGAGATAAGTGCCAAAGTGTTTTTTTGAAAGATTAAAGGATATTTTTTTTTTTTTTGCAGTTGTGTCACTGAAGACTTTTTTTCTCTCTCTACAGCTGGACGGAGCTACTGCCTCTGCTGGAGAAGAAGTACAGCCCGAATAAGTGTTACATGTTTGAAAATAACGTGTTCCCCAACAATGTCTCGCTACCGTCACCAAAGGCACAAAGCCTACCTAAAATGGACCACTGGAAAGGAGTTCCTGGAGTGAACATCCTGGCTCATCTGCACCAGGAGCCCATCACTAAAGAGATGCAATATATCAAATTTAAGATCATCGTAAACCCTCGAGATATTTATTCGGTATCGGTTCACGGCGTGCTGAAATCAGACCATGGCTGCAGCTGGGTGGACAGGAACATGGCACGGATGTACCACACAAGGTGAAGCCATGCTTTCAATTTAGACAGAATGTTTAACTCTTCCATCATTAATACAAACCAGATCCTTTATATCCATTATTTCTTTTATCACCTCTCCATTTGAATCATTACTACTACCCCAAAGTGTGCTTTAAGCATTAAAATCTCCTCAACAAATAACCATACCATTTATATTTTCATTCCATTCACCCATTTCCTCTAGACAAAGTTTTTTACAAGGGTTTTAGAAATTTAATATTTTAACAATTCCATTTTAATCAAAATTTCTACAGCTATCCATTCTAATTGTTTCCCTTTTCCTATAAATCTATATTGAATTCCCTGTTTTATAAAGATTATACATCCACCCCCATTTCCCCGTTCCCTGTCCCTTTGAACACTATCATATCCTTTTATCACAAAATCTAATTCTGTTTTAAGCCATGTTTCTTGCACACAAATAATATCGGGTTTATTTTTCTAATAATTCATGTAACCTTTAAACTCTTGTCCATTACTTATTAAGCTCCTAGCATTCCATTGAAGTAGAATCATATTCTCCCTCCCTGTGTTTTACCATCAGTCTTAAGCTTTTTGTTTATTAATTCCCAAGAAAGATCCTTTGCAGACAAGAATTTTTCTGCCCCATTTCACAATAATTTTTATTTTTTATTTTTATTTTTTTGTTTGTTTTACCTGGACAGTGCAGTTAATAACATAAGCCATGAAGAGAATTAACTTATACATCGTTATATCCAAACCTAACATAACACTTTGGTTTTGCTCTGGTAATGCACTCTGCTGATTCATCATTCTCTGATGGATATTTCTTTTTTCTTCCAGAACCTTCTTGGTTGCTTCTGTTTTTTGTGGTTTTATGATGTTGAATTTCTGCTGCTCATTTCCTTGCTTCACAACCTCCATCTGCAACATTATGCTGACCACCACAGTTACAACATTTTTGTCTGAACATCATCTTTGCATTCCTCATATTTACGGTCTCCTCCACATTTAGCACATCTTTGTTTCCCTTTACAAGCCGACGCTATATGACCATATCTCTGACACTTGTAGCAACGCAGCGGTGGGGGGGCATACAGCCTAACTGGAAAACTCATGAAACCTGTTCTTATTTTGTCTGGGAGCACATCTCCTTGAAATTCCAGAAGCACTGACAAACCTTCAACCTTTTGACCATCCACTGATCCTAACAGCCTTTTCAGTCTTTTAACTTTACCTCCCTGGATACCATGTTCAATTTTTTTGAAGATCTTCTTCAATCGGGATGCCAGTGATAACTCCACGAGATACCTTAGTGTCTCCGAACAGTTTCCTTTCACGAACAACTTTGTTACAAACATTATCAATTTGCAAAGCTTTATTTTTCTGATCTTCAGTTTTACATTGAATCAACATGTTTCCATCTCGCAGAATTTTCAACTTGCCTAATTTCTTCTTCAGTTCTCTGGAAACTGCAATAGGGCTTAAGATAATTTCCTCATCCTCCTTTCTGAATTTAAGTAATATTTTAAATTCATCTTTTTCCATTTTCCTTCGTACTGTTCTATTTTCCTCTTCTGAGCTGTCCTCCTCTAAACTTCTCTTCACATTAAGATTGTCATCTTTTTTCACACATCCTTTTCCTCTACCTCTGCCTACCGGAGTCCAGTGACCGACAGTAAGTCCATGTCCTCATCATCATCTACCTGTGATGTCATTCCGATCCAGTCACAGTTGAGTTTATGCCAACCACTAAATTCAATTTTTTAATTTTAAGTATTCGTCGCCAGCTAGATCTGCACCGACTGTCCAACAAACGCCTGCATCTCTCAAAACCAGGTAGCCGATTTGATCTAACACAATGACACATGAGGGTAACATATATGTTGGTTTGACCAAACCAAAAAACAAAGACATAGCTGACAATTAACTAAAGCAAACATTTAAACCAACTAAACCCAAGTCCCTCCATAGTGCAGCGCTACATGTTAGGGTTTAGCAAGCCAGTGACCAGATTTAAACCTTCTCAGCCTATTGCCACGCCTTTGCTTGTCAGGAAAGAGGCTCGTCTCTCACCATGGCAACAAACAAAAGAAAGAAATATTAACAAAAGAAAATACCTTCCATTGCTGGTATTTTCACACCTTAACAGCAGTGCAAGATAAACCAAATTACAAAATGAAAGAAAGAAATAAAAATAATACCACTTTGGGGCTCCAACCCCCACACCAATGCATTCAGATTTAAACATCTTTCTGTACCTTACGGTCCAGTAAAATATTATAGTACTCGTAGGTTAGCCTAGTTACTCAGATGTTGTTTGAGAACTGAACTTCTTTTTTCAGGCATTAACATACAAATACATCTTCAAGTTAGATGAGTCATTTTTGTTTTTAGGAAGTTTCTTCAGACTGCCCCAACGGTAAAAACTAGTATTTCTCATTCGTGTTATCAGTCAGAGATATTAAAAGGTTAGGATGTTCCCTTTCCTTATCAGGACAAACATTATCTTAAGGTGAGGCTATGAAAAGCTGCAAATGGCTTCTACTTATCTTACGCTTTATCAAGTCTGAGGACCCGAAAATAGTTTACACTGCATTCAGTCATTCACACACTGATGTTAGCAAGCTATGTTAGTAGGGGCAGCCAGCCTGGGGCAGACTGACTGAAGCATGATCAGCGCGGCCAGACTTCCTGACCACCAACAGCAAACCAAAGAGTTTCCTTCAGATATCTTGGTTTATATCCAGACACATCCTCAGTTTCTCAAAGTTGGGCTGAACTTGTGATAATCAATCAATCAGTCCATCGTATCTAAACTGCAGATATTGCAATATTCCATCTCTTTTAATTAAAGTTTAAAAAAATCGAATTTAAATTCTATTCAGAAGTGGGTGAGGTATTAAAATCAGTTAATGTTGTACAAACTGTATGTGGTAAACAAACAGTCTTTGACAGTTTCACTTAAAGTAACATTTTATTACTAGATTATATAAATTAACCATTGTGTTCTTCTTTCTTTTTGTGCAGAGATCAAATGCAACCCTTGCTGACTTCAGATAAGATGATCTATGATGGCAGATTGCTGAGCTACAGCGCCCCCCTCAGTCTGGCTGTTGATACTGCACTTCAAGAAAGTGGCCTTCTCTCTAAGGAGACCAAAAACTTGAACTAGGACCTTCTTGGTAACACGTCAGAGTGAAAACTTTTTTTGCAAGTTTTCTGGTACTTTTATGGTAGGATTTATTTCTGTTATAAGTTTTGTAAACTTTTACAAAAGTTTGCTTATGTGTTGCTAGAAAAGTATTTTTTAAGGATGCTTTAACATAAGAGAAATTATATATTTAATATTATAATATAATATTAATTAAAAAAAAATCTTGAGAAAATGTGAACTATAAAAAAGAATATTAAAAATAAAACATGTTTCGGTTAATAGTTTCGGTTGACTGGAACAGATCTGAATAGCAGAAAGAGTTGCACTGAAAGTGTAGAGACAGCTTACTGTATAATAATCTGACGACTGCTTAAAGTCCCCAGTTAAACTTAAAGTCCAAGTCAGTTTTATGGTAGCTGCTCAGGTTAGATTTCACTGGAGTGAAAAATGTTTACAGATCTTCCTAAATCAAAGGTTTATATTTTTAAAAAAAAATGTTTTTTTGCTCAAAAACAAGCAAGGTTTGTTTGAAATGCAGTTTTTATTATGCAGTTTAAAAAGATTTTGTTCAACAGGTGCCATTTTTTTATTTTTTATTTTTTATTTTTTTGTCTTTTTAAAAGGTTTCATCACCTAAGAGTCCATACATGTTCTTGCTTCTGACTCAGGGTTCTGGTTTCCCCAGTCTTTGCTTTTTTCTTGCAAGAAATGCCTCTATCTCAGCTCCCTAACTCCACACAACTAAATTATTAGATATATTATTGACTAGTTTTTGTAACTTTGATAATTACTATTAAACATGAAGTTAATCCATATCAGAAAATCAACAGATGCATAAATTAGATTTATTATTGTATAATGTTTTTGTTATTGTTTCCAGATATAGTCAGGGGAATGAAAGAATAAATTAATGTTTATAATCACATGTTTGAATTTAATGCTTATTAATTTTAAATATTGAGCTGTGGGAAAATAAATGATTGACTGATTGAATGTATAAATGAATCACGCACATGGATATAAATAAAAACAACTGAATTAATCAAAACAAATAAGAGCTGTATTGCTTTATTGTTGTTGCATTTCAATACATTTTCAATTAGCAAAAAGAACCTTTTACCTTCATTGTCTTTTCGAATTTTCTTTACAGTTCATGCTTCTGATCACAAAATGTTGAATTTATATCTTAATATATCTGTATTTATGTAGCATCTATTTCTACACCCTACAGTATATACAGTATATATGTTATATTTAAATCTAAATCTCAATTTTTGTATAATATATTCAATATATCTTATCTAAATCTTCAATCTAATATATAATAGCTATATGTTTTGTTTTATTTTAAGTTTTTTATGAAAGATTTACAGATTTAAGTGTTAAACATACCTAAATACATAAAACATATAGATTCATATTTAAGATTTGAATATAAGATGTAAAATGTATCTATTTTCTATAGAAACATATTATGTTATTAAGGTAATATGTAGGTAGTCAGAATATTCTGGTCAATAGATAAACGGAAATTATGCAAAATTGTTTTAAAAAGGAACTAGAGTACATTTGATGCTACAGAACAGTTTATCTGTTTTTGCTTGACTAGCATTATTCTTTGACAGATTATTTCATGTCATTATTCACATAAAAAAAAATATATAATCAAATATCCTAAGAAGGACCTCGTTCGGAAAAATAAGGCGGTCGGGAATTCATTGATCTCCACTGTGAGATCAATGAATTCAATCAATCAATCTTTAAAAATACAGTTTAAATAGTTTTCAATCTGAATAACTTGTAAATGCACATGCACTTGTATGTACATGTAAGAGATTATTGTATTATTAATATTTCTGATTCGTCTTTCATGTGATTAAAATGAGATCTAAGGCGCCTCCTATTCATTCTGACAGCAGCTGTCTGAGCTGTGGTCTGATCCAAGATGGCCGCCCTGTAGGCACGTCGGCCAGAGTCCAATGAGGCGTCTACGTAGTGTCGATACTCCGCATTTCTACCCATATGATTAACGTACTGGCACTAACGTAACTGAACCTAATCGGCCACCGTAATAGTAGCTAGGTTGGCTAGGGAAGTGTTCTTAAACGTTTCTTCGAGAAGCATCCCGCTGCAGCCTGCGGGAAAGCGGGGCTTGACATCAAGCCCCGCCCACATCAAGGACAGCCATATTGGAAATTCTTCTTCTTCTTCTTCTTTTCATTAATGGCGGATTGCAAGTAACTTTTAGGTGCATACCGCCACCTACTGTACACGAGTGTGTAGCAACATTTTCTCTACATTTATTAAATTCTATTTATTAATCTTGTGTTTTTAAGAAAAGTAAATAAAGCTTTCCTTACTCTATAAATATCCATTATGTTTCCTTCATTTCCTAATATTCCTTTAAGACTCCATTCTTTTCCTGTCCTTCCAACAATTCTTTTCAGATTTTCTCTTTCAGATTCATATGTTCTACAGTTCATTAATACATGTTCTACATTTTCTTTCTCTCCACATCCTTCACATTTATCATTACTTTTCTTCCCTATTAAATGTAAAGTGTCATTTAAATAGGTGTGTCCTACTCTTAATCTAGTCATAATTATTTCTTCCCTTCTGTTTCTCTCATCAATATTTCTAATTAGTACTGACTTTTGCACTTTATATAATTTTCTCCCTTTCTTATCTTCTTTCCACCTTTTTTGCCATTCTTTTATTTCTTTCATTTTAATACATGATTTCCCTTTCCCGAAAGGAATTATCATCTTCATTGTCATTTCTAAAGCCCTTTTTGCTAATTTATCAGCTTTTTCATTTCCTTTAACCCCTTCGTGAGCTGGAACCCAGCAGAACCAGACATTAATGCCACCTCTATATAATCTAAATAAACTATGCATCATTTCTAATACTAACTCTTTCCTATTATTTCCTTCTCCCTGGATACTTTCTAACACTGCTTTAGAGTCTGTACATATCACCACCCTGTCTGGTCGAACCTCCTCTACCCACTGTAAGCTTAATATAACTGCCATCCCATATTGGAAATGCTGACCGCTCTTGCCTATAGGTGCTGGCGAGAGAAATGGCCAAAAAATGTGTTATGTCACATGGTACTGTATGTCTGTCACGTGGTATGTCCTTTTTATTTTTAAATCTTTATTAAATTTTCAGATGTTAAAATAACATTAGTAACAGTCTAAAATAAACAACAATAAGGAATTATTATGAAGATGTATTTATCTATCCTCAAACCCTATGAAAAACAAATGTCATAAAATGTAAATTAAATTAGTAGTTTAGAGACAAATGTATATTACATTGAGGACACATTTATCTATCCAATAAGTATCATACACGCACACTTATCTCTATAATGGTGTCGTTAGGGCTGGTGCAGTGGATTCTGGACAGATTCCCAGTCCATCGCAGATTAAGAAAAAATCTATCCATCAAATTTCTGACCCGCTTAATCCCTCTTGGGGTCGCGGGGGTTGCTCGTGCCTATCTCCAGCGTTGATTAAGAAAAGCAATATAACCAAATACTTGCTGGTGCGGAAGTTCAAATAATAATATAATATCAGTAGACCCCAACAGGATTTATCCTCTAAAAGACTACCTAAAAAAGTTTAAACCTGATATTCCTGTGAACTGCACTTTTTGTGATCTTCTCCCAGAAACTGTAACACATTTGTTTTGGTTGTGTCCACACTCTAAGATGTTTTGGTTACACTTTTGCAACTATGTGAATTCAAATGTTATGAAAAATTTTCAGCTTCATTGGAAAAACATTTTATTTGGCTTTCAACTGCAAAGTAAAATGTTTCCCAAACCTTTCCTTATCAATCTTTTAATTTTGTTGGCCAAATTTCACTTGCATAAATTTAAATTTCTAAAAAAAAAAAAAACGGACTTTAAAGCTTATTTAATAGAAGTCAAACAATATTTTCATACAATTCATCTTTCTTCTCATCAAAAAGCTCAAAAAACCATAACAATCTGTTCCCAACGAGAAATTCTAGACAACTTAATGTTGTAAAAGCTATATTTATTTGTATAATACATACACATATATATATGACACTCCCCAGCGCATATGTTTGTATAATTGCTTGTTTTTTTTCTCCTAACTGTACTTGTTTATTGTGACATACCCCCTGGCATATTTATTTGTTTGTTTGTTTGTTTGTTTATATATTGTTGTGTGACTTTAAGTGAAAAAAAAAAAAAAAAATCAGTAGTAGCAATGCGGGATTGGCTGTCGCGGCGCAGGAATTACGGCCGCCATATTGGGGCGGTCGACCTGCTACTCAAACATGCTGATTCAAGCTGAACACACTAATGATGCCTCAGCACTGTGCGGCGTATTTTTGTTTAAATTTACAGACTATTTACGTCAGGGCTCGAGGGATAACTTTTCAAAATTAAGATGAAAACATATCTTTACATATATCTTTATATATTCCCTGCCCTGTTACGTCAGCATTTCTAATATGGCTGTCCTTGGTGTGGGCGGGGCTTGATGTCAAGCCCCGCCTTCCCGCAGGCTGCAGCGGGATGTACTTGGGTTTCTTCTGAGGTTTGTAGTTTACATTAGGAAATAACGCTTCGCCTTGTTATCGCGTTATTTATCCTTTGGCTGAAGGTGAGGCTACGGGAGGGTTAGGTAAGTTGGTTGGTTAATACCAGCTAGTATTACCCAGCTGCGCTGGCCCGGTTAGTTAGCAGTGATGTGTTTAAACGTCTCTGTTTGCATTAGTTTTATCGCTCAGTAAAAAAAAGCTCGCGGACTCCACAGAGGTCAAAGGGCGATGCTGTCAGTCATGTGCAGATCGGCTCTGCCTAAATGTAAGTTCAGCCGTTTGTGTCTGTTTTTGACTCGCTGTTTGTTCATAGTTAGAAATGATTAAATGATGAGTTTAAGTGTCTGGTTGGAAAACCGACCTAAACGAGCTTCAGCTGGAATATAGGTGAAAGGTCAAAAAACTTTAAACCCTTTCTGAGGTTTGGGAACTTATTTTATTTCGAAATGATTTTCCTAAAAGTTTGAGAGATGATTATTTATTAAATATTTAGTATATATTAAAAATAAACGGCAAGTAATTCACATTCATAACAAAATAATAGTATCGTGCAATTATTACAAAACAGCAAAATCAGAATTAAAAAAAGGAAGTTGTTCAAGTAAAATAACATTTTATTCTATATATTATATAACAGTTATTATATTTTAACTCCTGTAAGAATGATTGTAGTTGGAAAAAAAAAACAGGTAAAAATAAATAAATTGTGCAGATAAAGGCATCAATTATAAAGAAATAAGGGCATGTATGAGGGGGAAAGCAGCACTTGATCAGATAAAGAATAAAAATGCAGAAGTGAAAGGTTTTGATTGGATGACCTCAGAATAACATCCATTGATCATCATTAATAATATAAACTCTCAGAGGTAAAGAAATGCACAGATTGATCAGAGGAAGGTGGATCATGATGAACATGGAGTAAAAAGAAATATGTTTTAAAGGAAATATTAACAGCCTGATAATAGGAATAATCACAATCCAAATTAGCTCAACAGAAAACAGCAAGTTTTTTATTTTTTTATGTTTTAATGATTCTGATTACTGAGTTCCGTATTGAATTTTAGATCCTGATTTTGATGGGATTTTTTTTTTTTCATTTGTTTACAAATGTCTTGTCTTTTCAACATTGACAAATGAATGACAAATGACAATAAATGAAAAAATGATAATGAAAAATGACAAAATAAATCTAAGTCATTAAACATGATTAAGTGCAGTAAAAAAAAAAAAAAACATTTTCTTTCCATTTATGGACCTCCTGCTAAATGTTATATATAAAAAAAGCTATTCTAGATGAAACTGTTGTTAAAGTGTTCCTTTTTTAGACGGCAGGTCGTGGCTGTCTGCCCAGGTCGCGGTCAGAACCATGTCCTCCTCTGAGGGACCCAGTCCTCCGTTCACCACGCTGGCCGTCAGCCGCCCGGCGGAGGCCGTCACACACGTCCAGCTCCACAGGCCCAAAAAGCTCAACGCCATGAACAAAGCTTTCTGGAGGTTAGGACCTCTCATTACATCACATATTAACAGAGGTGTCAGGTAACGAAGTACAAATACTTTGTTACTGTACCTAAGTACACCTTTTAAGTATCTATACTTTACTCCATTACTTATTTTCCTTCCTACTTCTGACTTCTACTCATTACATTTTCAAACAAGTATCTGTACTTTCTACTCCTTACATTTTTAAAACAAATATTAATCGTTACTCTTGGCTTCATTTTAACTTTTATAAATATTTATTTCATGTCATATGCGCCATCCACATCTAGTGAAAACTAGTGTAATTGGATGAGTCATATAACGCAAACACTGATTGGTTAGCTAAAGGAAATCATCAGAAGCAAGCAGGTGTTCTTCAAACTGCAAACGTGAATTGTCTATGCCATGCTACAATGTAGGATTCAGAAAAAGATGCTGAAATGTCTGAAAGGTCGGACACATGAGAGATGGAGACCAACAAGACCTCCCTCATCCATGGCCCTATCTCAAAGAATATTTCCAAATAGTCAAAAAATTGAGCTTTCAGTTCATATAGTGGCATCTGTTTTTTAAAGGTTACTTTTATACTTTAAGTAGTTTTTGGAGCAAATACTTTTTCCCTTTTACTTGACTAAAGAGGTCTATTTGAATACTTCAACTTTTACCAGATTTTTTTTCAAACTGCAGCATCTATACTTCTACTTAAGTAACAAATGTGTGTACTTTTGACCACTGCATATTAATAGATGAAATACCTTTATTGAATTTCATTTATAAAAATTAAAGAAAAAGTATCCATTTTTGAAAGATTTTTATTTTAAAACATGGCAAAATTAAAATAGTGATTCTTAAAAGATTGAATATTTCCTTTTGTTGATGTTTATTAAAAATACATATAATTCGTCTCTTCAAAAGCTTATGAAATAGAGTTTTGTTTCACTGGCCTGAAAGATTTACCCTAAATTAGTGGAAAAAAGTGACATTTACAGCTATCAATATATTTAGGTATTAGACCCCCCTGCTTCCCTGTTAAATAGTGCAACAGGTGGAGCGGCACTTAGTGATCAGGGCATAGAGCCTCGAATCCTCAGGTTCTGAGTTCGAGCTCCACTCCCACAGACAGCCACTCTGGGTCCCTGAGCAAAACCCTTAACCCCACACTGCTCCCCAGGCGCCGCACAATGGCAGCCCACTGCTCCCCAAGAAGTTAAATTTCTCCAATGTGAGATCAGTAAAGTTCAATTATTATTAAATATGAAACAATTTTTCTTGTCAGTTTGCTCCCAGCTGCAGTTATTTGATAAGGTTATAGCATCTCCCCCGAAAGATGGTCGACACTTGACTGATGGTTTTCTTGTTTATTGGAATCTTAGCGTTGTCAACGATACTCCTTTTAACCAGCAACCGTAAGAGCTAGGCAGAGCACAGAAGAAAAAATGTATGACGGTACCAGTACTAAGTAAAATTAGCACCATATATATATATATATATATATATATATATATATATATATAAGTTACGGAGACTTAATAATAAACAGAAGAAAGTTCTTCACGCATTTCAGAACACATGAACACACATTAACCATGTCTTAACACATAAGCACTAACCTTGTGCCACTTCAGAAGGTGCGATTACTTCAAATAAATCTTTCCTTCTTTTACTACGTTTCAGTCTCAGCCTCTTCTTCTCTGTATCTCATTGTAGCCACTAACTAAAAACCCGGTCACGTAGTTTCAAAATAAAGTCCCTTAAAACAAGGTCAAAATGTAAAGCATTATAAATTCACAAAAATAATGGGGCAAAATTAGAAATCCGTCATTTACAAAGGGGTTACTTTTTCTTTCCACTCAAATTTCTATGAAAACGGTTCATAATATTTTAGTCACTGCTTTATTCAAAATAAGAAATAAAGGCCTGGAATATTTCTCAGCATGTTTAAAGAATCTATAGTTTTCAGAAGAAGACTTTTACTTTCTAAAATGAGTGACAGTTCTGAGACCATAGATGGTTGCAGTTTTATTCTTTGCTAACCAAGGATTTCCGTGTGTTTTCAGGGAAATGGTGGAGTGCTTTAATGAGATCTCTGAGGACCAGGACTGCAGAGTGGTGGTGGTTTCAGGAGCAGGGAAGATGTTTACAGCTGGTGAGTGCCATTTAATCAGCCTGTCAGCTCTCCTGTATTTATCCGCTCTGACGAGCTGCCGTCCAGGTATCGACCTGATGGACATGGCGGGCGATATGCTCCAGCCGGAAGGCGACGACGCGGCCAGGGTCGCCTGGAACGTCAGAAAACTGGTCCGCAAGTATCAAGAGACGTTCTCCGTCATCGAGAAGGTCGGTGTTACTGAAAGCTCTGAGGATGAGGCTCACGGCAGAGACTGAAGCTTTAGGGTTTCTTGTTTCTGTAGTGTCCAAAGCCCGTCCTGGTGGCCGTCCATGGTGCCTGCATCGGAGGAGGTAGGACGCCATCATCCTGCTCCGTCTGTGGAGCATCTTAAAGCGGGAAGTTTATTAAAGCCTTTATGTTGGACTTCGTCTACCTTTGATGCAGCAGCAGGAAAAGTTTCCATGAAACCTTTCATTTTAGTTGTTAAAACTGTTGAACAAAAATGCTCAAATTTAATGGAAGAAAAGATCCAATGTTGTAAAAAATGTTTTGTCATAAATGACCATTATTGCTCCTCTTACTGTTTCTGCAGCAGCTGGGATCTTCCATCTCTGTTCCCACAGTTTCTGTTTGGATAAACTTTTTTCCTCATTTATATTCAATTTGATTTATTCTGTCTGTAGATTTGGAGAAGTTTAGGAGAGAAAATACTTTCCTGTTTCCCTGACAGCGAGCAAACATCTGCATAACTAGAAATATTTAGTCTATCATTTAGAAACGGTAGAAAACAAGCCTCTGTGTCGCTTTTATCCAAAAGGAACACTTTGATCGACTTAACAGTAAATTAGACAACAGAATATACTTTATTGTGGAGTTTTTGATAATTGTGCCGCTAGAGAATTTTATTACTTTCTAAAAATTACTTTCAAACTCTTCTCCTTGCAATTAAAGATGGGAATTAAAGTTTTTTTTTTGCCTAGCCTTTGGTGTCATCAAGTATGGAGAATTTGCTTTTTCATAAATCTCAAATAAAGTATTTTAGTAGAATATATGCATACTTCCATCTAAATTAGATTTTTTCTTTTATGCAAGTTTATTTGTTCCTCATTATGTTAAATTAAATCAGTTCTAAAAACATTTAAAACAAAGCTTCAGCTGATAAATTAAATCCCCATTGATGTGATTCTGATATTAGAAGTTAGTGGTTAAAGTCTGTTTCCTTCTGCAGGTGTTGACCTGATCACCGCCTGCGATATCCGCCTGTGCACCCAGGACGCCTGGTTTCAGGTCAAGGTCGGTTCCTCAGAGAAAACGATGCTCCGATCACCGGAAACCGTCAATCTGAGGCTTTGTTTCTGTCTGGTTTACAGGAGGTGGACATCGGTTTGGCAGCAGACGTAGGAACCCTGCAGAGGCTTCCTAAAGTCATCGGCAGCCGCAGGTAAAAGCCGCCCTGGCCTCCATTGCAGGAACGCTGCTGAGCGTTAGAAGTTCAAAGGTCATGTGTGATGTGTGCAGCCTGGTGAACGAGCTGGCTCTGACCGCCAGGAAGATGTACGCCGATGAAGCAAAGAGCAGCGGATTGGTCAGGTAAAACCCTCAGAGCCACTAAATACCAGATGATGAAAACATAAAGACAGGAAAACTTGATAAATTTAAAAAAAGAAACTTCCAGAGAAAATCCATCAGTAGAACTTGAGTTTGACCCTTTAAGCTGCAGAGTTTTAACATTTAAACTCGTCTCACAGCCGAGTGTTTCCGGATAAGGACGCCATGATGGCCGGAGCCCTGGAGATGGCGGGAGAGATCGCGGCTCGCAGCCCTGTGGCGGTGCAGGGCACCAAGCTCAACCTGATCTACTCCAGGGATCACAGCGTGGCCGAGGGACTCGACTACATGGTGGGAGTCTGCTCGCCTTCATAAAGCTGGTGGTTTGGATTAGGAGCCTGGTTATGGAAGCATATTGCATTCACCAAAGAAAAAAAAACCTGACAGCCTATCTCATAATCACGAGATCTTATCTCATAATTATGAGATAAGATCTCATAATCCTAAGATAAGATCAGGAAGGACATTCATTGCCGAGCTACGCTACATGAAACGTGAACAATGAGCGGGCTGTCGGATTTAATATGCTTTTATTTCCTTTTACGTATGCGACACTGGGAAATACTGAGTTTTCTTAATGCGGACGGAATTAGTTTTAGTTTGTCAGCACTGCGCAGTAAGTCCTTAGAATTGTTTAGGCAAAAAAAGCCCTGTTCCTGCAGGATCAATTAAACCAGTACGGGATGCTTTATGGCGATAAATTAGTGCATCTGAAATCCATTCAAACTGGCTGGTGTCCCAAAAAAACTGCCAACCGGTACCTTCTCTCCTAGATCCTCAAAGAGTACAGCTGAGGCTTCAGAACAGTTTAAAACGACCAGGTCCCAATTTATGTGGCATATCGATTCATATGAAAAACTAAACATTACAGAATCTCAATTAATGGAGCTGTTGACAGATTTTCGCGTTAATCTACAAGTAGTAATCCCAGGGTTATAGCTGGGTACTTTGTTGATGAAGTGCAAAACATTCGCGAATCAGGACAGACCTGGGTACAGAGAACTGCTCAGTGGAACAGATGCAGATATTTTTAGCGGTAAGAAGTAATCATGAAGACCAGTTTCCTTAGAGATGCTTCATTACTGGCTCAAGTAATCATACAAATATATAGATAAGATCACGTAATTATGAGATCTTTTCTCATAATTACGAGATACTGATCTTGTAACTATAAGCTGTCTTTTTTCTTTTCTTTGGAGAATGCAATAAGCTTCCGTACCTTGTAGCCGACTGCAGGAAGCTAACTGTGGGTTTCTTCCAGGCTACGTGGAACATGAGCATGCTACAGACCCAGGATGTGATGAAGTCTGCTCAGGCAGTCATGGAGAAGAAGAGCCTCAAAGAGACGCTGTTCTCCAAACTGTGAAGCTCAGAGCTGCTGCTGCTGTCGTTCTTCCATCTTTAAGAGGAGAGCAGATTGTTCTCTCCTCAGACCTCCAAGCTGCTGCCAGGATGAAACCAGTCTGAACATCTGAGCTTTAACTCCTTTCTAATTGTATAATTTCATCTTGTTTTGTAAACTAATCATCTTTAATAAAGTCATCTGAATTATTTATAGAGTACACTAAATATTTTGAGGCAGATCTTAAAACGTTTCAGGTTTTATTAAATAAAAAAAATCATGAAATAAATAGAACATTTAAAGTGAGCTGGATCCTTCATAACCGTCGAGTCTGCTTCGCACGAAGCTTCTGTAACGTCCTCTGTGGAAAGATAAGAGAAAATCAGTTCAGCTGCAGACCATCAGAGCTCATCTCTAACACTTCGGCTCTGACCCTGTGGAACTCCTTGGCCTTCAGTCGGTTCTTGGCACTGTCCTCCTGTCGGCTGCGGACGGCCCTCTGCTGCTTCACCTCCTCCAGCTGCTCATAGAGCCTGCAGAGAGAAGAGTCTGCTCACACACTGAAACTCAGAAAAGACAGGAAGTCGTCAGGATCATCCATGCGGTACCTCCGAGTCCTTTTCTGCATCTCAGAAAGGTTCCGTTTCCTTTGCTCTGGAGAGCTGATCTTAACCTCTACTGGGACCTTGGAACTGGAACGACTCTCTAAAAAAAAAGAACCAAGAGAAAAACTTAACCGGATTTCTAGATTGAAATTCAACCATTTTATGACCTTCAGTATGTGTTTTAAACATAACTGAGACACTGCCTTGTTTGAAGTCTAACTTGCATGGTCTACAGTAGGGATAAGAGTAGTATTTATTTATTTTATATGTAAATGTTTTCATCTTAAGGGCGGATTATACTTCTGCAACCGCACACATCAAATGTCGCCTTGGTCTGGTCGCGAACCAGTTTTGCTGGTATGCTTCTGCACCGTCCGTCTGGAATTTCTAGGGACGCACAGCAGTTTCCCGCCAAAGCGCAAGGGGGAGCCTATTGGAGGCATGATCACGAGAACTTTGTTTTAGCAGAGACCTTGGCATCTTCATATAATTTGTATGAGGCATCGTACAAGTGGTTGTACTTCCGAACCTCCTGGATTAACTTTTCGTTATAGTTTACCATTGTATTTGTTCCTCGGTTTTTAAAAATGGCACGCCCCGGCACCAAATCGAGAAGATTGACCAGACAGACAGCCGGAAAGACATACCAAGGCCCAATGACCTCTGCTTTTTGTCCGAGCACTTACGCTTGAGGTCCGCACGGGTTTGCAACCGTCCGACGCGTAGTCAAGATTTGACACGCACAGATTTGACGATTGCAGAGGCTATGGGTCAGACAATAAATTGGCCTTTAACTCAACCAATGCTGATTTAAAATTCAATCATTAAACAGACTCTCTAAAAATGATTCATTGCTGAAAGAAGCAGCAGAGGAGCATCAGCCAATCAGATTGGAGCTTTTTTGGCGCTGTTGTTGAAACAACAGAAAACAATCTGAACCACACTGATGGTTAATTTGATTTGCAAACAAAACAGTTGGTGGTTTATGGAGACTCAGTGTGTCTTAACACTGCTGGGGACAATATTTACTGAGATGCATTATTCCATGCTTCACAATTGTGATGGTTAATGAGGCATTTTGAAGAGTTTCTTTACCAAACTATTGCTTCTGCGTTGAATACTGACACCTGCTGGACCTTTAAAGACACTACAGGCAGCTTCTTTGACAGACTAAACTGAATTGATTTGAATACCCAGTACACTGATATGTTATTGTAGGTTATATTGTATTATTTCATATCTATGTTTTACATTGATAATATCTTTGATATTTTTAGATGCAGCCAATAAATAATGTAAACATATATCACAACGTGAAAATCAAGGGGAAATGTGAATGAGGATGCTTGTGGACTAGGATTTTAAATCATATTTTTAAAACAATAAGTACAGTAAAAACAAGTAAAAAAAAAAAAAACTAAGAGTCAATTTGAAATTAACCTTAATTCAGATAAGTTGAGTGATAACTGAGAGGAAAAGTATGACAACGAGAAAATTAAAACAAAAATGCAAAGGCTGAAACCGTCCTGTTCCTTTTAGGCTGCTACAAAATCTTCATCATTTTAATGAAAAACCGCAAAAGATAAAATTTTTTTAGTTGATGCATCATGTTGACAGATACGTTTTTAAACACAGTTTAGTGAGTCAGTTCGCTAGAAACAACTCCTGTATCGGTCACGACTTTCTTGAAATGACAAATGCAACACTGATGCACCGACGCATCAGTGTTGCTGGACCCATCACTACTTCCCATCTACATATTAACCCTTTTTTCTGTGCTAGAACTCTGAAAAGCCTTTTCATCTATCAGAGTTCAGACATTAAATCAAAAACCAAACTGATCATGTTGATGAAAACTTCACACTGGAACAGAAAACCAAAGGTTACACAGTTCAAATCTTTCTAACATTTTTAGTAAAGAAAACTAATCCAGATTGTTCCAAATTGATTTGGAGAAACATGAAATCAGAATCCAGAGGAACGGTCCGTTTCTCTGACTGGATGAACCAGTAGCCTCAGAAGAACTGGTTTAAAATCATACCTTCTGCAGGAAGGTGAAGCTTCCGTCCAGCCCGTCTTCCCTCCACCTCGCCGTTGGTTTGCATCGTTTTGACCTCACAGCTGACTGACTGAACTCTGTCCGCTTTAACAGAGTCTTTTCCTTTGAGTTCGTATTTGCCGACAGACCGTCTGCTTTTGATCTCCTCCAACCTGCGGTTTGACCTCTGAATGAGGGCCTGACGCTTCTGCTGGAAGGCGTCCTCCTGGACGCTGCTTGGACTCCACTGAAACTCCAGGATTGTTGCTGGACATGGAGGATAAAAAACAGGTTGGAATAGATTTGATGTTTTGCTAAAAAGGAGGGAGCAGAATATTTTTTCCCCACTTTGATTCATCTGAGCTGCAGCAGCTGTTTGTACCTGGAAGCTTCTGAACATCATCCTCAGATAGCCGTGAACAATCCGCCCCCTGGTGGACAAGGTTGGCATAAACATTACAAAGTCAGGATGAATAAAAGGATCCATCAGTTCAGAGCCGTTACCTTGGTTACCAACCCTTCCTGCCCATCATCCTTCATGCTCTCTGGGACTTCCTCATCATCAGTGGCGATGAAGTCCTGATCCTGTAACGTTGTGTCTGTCAGACTCACCAGTGTGATCTGGGACTGCTCCAGGATGCCTCGCTCCCAGCCCACTTCCTGATTCACAGAAACACATTTTAGAAGAGAGTCAAGTTAAAATAAAGCACTGTTCTGATCTACTGTTGAGATTCTGGTTTAAAGTCGTAGGGAAATCATATTTAAATGTCAAATCATTCTGGCTTAAACAAATATAAATGTACTCTTTATCAGACGATATCGTCCCAAAAGTTAGAAAATTTTTATTTGAAAAAAAAAAAAACCCGTCTTAAAATCTGTGGGGTTTTTTGTTATCTTATCCAGGCCAGTTAGTTATACATCAGCTTGAAAACCTCAATTCCGCCAGTAATATGTCAACGGTCATCTGTCAATTTTTTTCAATCATAGCATCTTAATACATATGTCATAGCTAATATACCCAAGGGTTGAAATAAGAATCATTTCCTTTCCCATTGCTTTCCGTCCCAGTGTTCACAGGGAAGCCTTCTACACCAAACCAAGCTTCTGCCGCCCTGGCGTCCTCGTCCACAACATCTTCGTCCCCGCTTTCCTCCTCTAAATAAAAAATGTATGATGGAGGAGACTCATCCACGACCTCCGACACAAAACTCTCCTCCTATTGCTTGTTTCCTCTGTCCATGGCGTTCCTTGACAGTGTCGTTTCTATGTCATCAATTTAGTGCTACTTGGTCCCAATGGAATTTCCCATTGGGAACCTACTAGCACTAAGTTGCTAACTGGTTAGCAAGACGCTTCCAAGAAACGGCCACAACTAAACTTGCTTGCAAACCTTCTGCCACAACAATCCGGCCCTCTTGATAATCATCCAATCACATTCACTTTAATCACTCTTGTAAAGTCAGGCACCACTCGGCAGAATTCTGAACTGCAGCGGTTAGAACGGCTGCTTCCCTACGACTTTAAATATCTGAGCAGAAAGGAAAGGAAACCTACTGAAGTCGCCTCTGAAGCAGAGAAATGCTTGTGCTTCTCATCAGGATCAGCCTTCATCTCTGACTGATGATCAACGACTGGGACTGAATCTTTGTGCTCTTTGGACGCTCCTGCCTCTAAAGTGCTGATGTTTGACGGGACAGAGTAACCGGTCCTCGGATTGGGGGACATCGTGCGAATGGACTCCTGTGGGAGACACTCTGAGAGGACCAGCTGGGAGAAGGATTCCTGTAATTCTCTGCAGTAGTTTGGCTCCTCCGTTCTGAGCTGCTCAGGACATGGATCCCCCTGTACAGAGGAGGTGGACCCGCCGGGCCCTTCAGCAGCTGGGCTCCTGTCAGAGGTGTCCGACACGTTGTGTTGTGGTAGTTGGAAGGTCATGGAGGGGTCGGCTGTTTCGTTGTGAGTGATTTCTGGCAGCAGCGGGTGGAACGAATCTGAGTGGTGCAGAGAGAAAGAAAGAAATAGATTTAGAACAAATGTTACTGCCCCATCAAACTTTTGAAATTTTTTAATTTTGAAACTTCTGAAAAAATAAATAAATAAAAGCTTTCAATCCCACCTTCAGCCCTGTGAGAGTCCAGCTCGATAAAATCGGGTCCGTTCTGCAGCTCCTCAAGCTGATGACTGGCGTTTGGGACCGAATGACTTTGAGCTTCAGGAGGCGCCGTCTGTGACGTTTCTCTGGATTCAGAGGAAACTCCATGATCCTCTGAACTGCTTTCTGCTGCACACAGAAACGGGTTTCTGTCAAACCAGAACCAAGTTCTGCTAAAGATGCAGCATTAAAAGCAAACTGGAGGATTTAGTTTGAGCTTTTTAAAGCAATAATTGAATGAATCAATAATCTCAGTAATTTAAATTAACAGATTAAGGAAAAAAAAAAAAAAACTGTCTAAACTGGACCATAATACCTGAGCTTCCAGTGTGTGGATCAGCTGAATAGTCCAGCTCCCTGACCAGCGCTCTCATCGGGCTTTCCTGAAACTCATCCAACCACAACGGTTCCGATGA